AGGCAGGTTGGCTGTGCCGTGTGGAAGGAGCGTGCTGTGCAGGGGGAGGCCAGCCCCCCGAGCAGGTCTCCAGACCCCCGAGCAGAACCCTCACCCCAGAATCCCACTTCAGGCCCTTTGGGAAAACAAGGCTCGAGAAGGACAAAGTTGATGCACAAAGATGTTTATAGAGAGACTTCCAAGGTGTGGATTCAATAGCCAATGAAAACTTCCTCATGGGTGTTCTCTCCCCCTGCAAGTGAAACAGTGAGCTAGAAGAGAAATAAGAAAAACCCAGCCTACTGATGAGTTAATTAACCATTTTTGGAGAGAAAGCAGACATCCTAACAAAGGCTGGCAGCGCCTCAGCCCAGCAGCCCTGGGCCTTCTGTCCGCTCCTGCCCCATCCGCCCTCTCAGCCTGCAGAGAAGGGGAGAACGTATAACACACAGCCCCCGACTCGACCTCAGAGCAAAAACGGCGCTGGGGACTTCCACATGAAGGTGGCAGGTGGAACACAAGTATTGATTTGCTCTCTCTCCAAAACTTCCACTAAAATCACAGCAAATGGACATCTAAAAGGCATAAACCCCTGAAGATGAGGAGAACAACGGAGGAAACAACGACAAAAATCTGGAACCTAGAAGCAAGTGGATGAGTAGAGACTGACTCAGTTGCCCCAAGAAAGCCACGACCTAAACTACATTGGGAACAACCCTGTGCACCCACAGTCCGAGGCTTTGCCGGACGCGGCACCAGGAACCCCAGAGGAGCTGAAGGGAAGATGGAGGCCAGCAAGGACACTGCCTAGAGCCCTGGGCATCGTGCCCACTCTGCACAGTTGTCTCCCCCTCAGAGCACACTGGAGGGCCTTCTCTGAAATGGGTAAATCAAGGGGCTCTGAACTGGGGGCATCGGGCAGAGGGGATCATGGGGGTACTGCGCCAAACCAGGAGGCTAAGTGGACGCTGACGTATGTGCGTCCCCCACCAGCCCTCTTCTCCACCTGGCTCCCCTCTGGGGAAACTGATACCTGGGGTCCCCCAACAAGTAGTGAGGCAGTATCCCTATGAAGAAGTCAGGGGGGGACTGGCCCAGCCTCCGGCCCCGTGGGAGGAAGAGCGCCAGCTCACTCCCCACAAACGCTGGGGCAGGCTGGGGGTGGGGGCAAGGGTCAGTTTGGGCTCCTCTGAGGTGGCCTTAGAGGGCCTTCCAGCAGCTCTGTGACGTTCTTTCTGAAATGTGGGGACCCTTAAGCCTCTTGACTTCTGCTGTGGGGCCTTAACCAACAACAGGAAAAGCCTCTTTCCACATCCTTCTAAACAAGATTCCACAGCGTAAGCCTTTTATTTATAAACGTGGAGATAAACAGCAGAGCAACCCCTCAAGGGTTGAAACGGGTTGCTTCCAGGAAGTGGAACCGGGCAGAGGGTGGGATGGGGCAGAGGACTATTTTTCGTATAAGCCTTTCAGTGCAATTTCATCTTTAAAGGATGTGCTGGTATTAATTAAAGCCCATAAATAAAACTACAAAACCCATCTGGGGATTCCTTGCCCCGCCTGTCCTTGGGGACTTGTTGGGCAGGGGGGCTGTCATGCTTCACTGCCATCCCGCGGTCACTGACCCCTGCCCTCTGCCGCAGACTCGGAGCCCTGGAGCGGTGACGTGTGGCAAGGGTGTGGGAGGGGCCGCTTTTCACACTGGCGTGAAATCAGAGGCTTCCCGGTTGGTCCTCCTCAGGGAGAAGCTGTGAAGGTTTTGCTCTCAGAGTAGGATTCTGAGAAGCTTTTAGATGGTCAGGGAAAGGCCGAGGCTCCTGGTGGAGACCACAGCCTCTCGGAGTGAAAAGAGCAGAGGGGCAGCCCCAGCCGGGGGTCCATCCTATGGGTCATGAGTCTGGGCCTCCATTCCCTTTGTGTCACATGATGGGGTTGGGGGGCCCCTCCCAGGCCTGGGAAGTTCCTATCAGAATCCAGCTGGCTCAGGGGACCCAGGCAAAGCTGACAACCAGGCCCAGCACAGACAGGCGTCTCCCAGTAGAATGGGCTATTCTTATGACTCCCGGGCAGCCACTGAGGGGCCTGGGGAGATCGCCTCCAGGCCCCACAGTCATGGCTCCCATCTCCTGGTCTCTGAACACCCCTGCTCTATCTTTTGCCCTACAGTTCTTAACCTTTTCTGTGCCAGGGACCCCTCTAGAGGCCTGTGCGGGCTCTGGAGCCCTTTTCAGGAGTGTTTTCAATGCACGAAATGAGATACACAGGATTACAAAGGAAATTGACTGCAGCAAAATGTTGTCAGTAAAATATTAAATAATAGATTTGTGATGAAGAAACACGGGTGCTTCTTAACAAATCAACAACAAGATGAGCTGGTGGGTCCACACAGAGCCGTAATTTTGAAGCAGCGATGAGCAAAACCAATATTGTGCCATTATCTGCAACAACTCTCCTGTCACATAAAAGTAGCAGTGATTTCCATTGGTTCATAATGAAGGGAAATGCTAAATTTCAGCCAGAAGTTAGTGCGAAGGGCAGGGTCATTTTTCCCCCACCAGAGATCATGGATGCCCTGAATTCTGCCCACAGACACCAGGCTGAGAACCCAGCCTCCTCTGCCTGGCCCCCAGACCTCATGGCTTCTGCTCGTCACAGCCCTTGCCACCAGGCTCCTCTCCTGTGCCCCTCTGCCCCTCAACACCAGGTACCTGGATTCCCTCATCACCACCCCTTTTGCCTGCTTTTCAGGGGCTCAGGCAGGCCTGGTTGGGGTCTGAATCCAGACCCTGCCCCGAGCAGCCACAAGTCAGAGAAAGTGGGAGAGTCAGCTCCTTGGCACAGCCTGCAAAGCAGCAGCAACATGCAGAGCAGACAGAACCTGGAGCCAGTGGGAGGGGTGGGGGGGGGCTCACCTGTGAGTCCAGGTGTGTGCATGGACGGCACTGGCATAAAGATGAGGGTCAGGGGCCGGCTTGGTGGCATAGTGGTTAAGTTCGCATGCTCTGCTTTGCAGCCCGGTGTTATAGGTTTGAATCCTGGGCATGGACACCACTCATCAAGCCATGCTGTGCCAGCATCCCACATATAAAATAGAGGAAGACTGGCACAGATGTTAGCTCAGGGACAAACTTCCTCAAGCAAAAATAGGAAGATTGAGAATAGATATTATCTCAGGGCCAGTCTTCCTCACCAAAAAAAAAAGTGGATCAACATCTAAAACTTTGTGTTAGGCAGTGTTTTAAAAAATCCCAGTGCCTAGGCCACACCCTAGGCCAACCAAATCAAAGTCTCTGAGGTGGGCTCCAGGGACCACAATTTAATAAACTCCCAGGTGACTCCAACGTGTCTTGGGAGCTTGATGTGAAGGCGTAGGACAGAGTAGTGGGCAGGCAAAGAGAGGAGAGAGGCCCCTGAGGACTCACAGAGGTACGTCTGTGTGCTGACTGGGAGCTCAGCCCGGAGCTGGAACCGGCCCAAGTGGGGAAGGGAAGACGAGAGAGGACGGGGGTCCCCGGAAGCTTTCTGCTGAGTTTGAGAACCCTAATGCGGAGGGTGCCAGCCATCACCAGGAGGCTGCCTGAAACTGCCAGCAGCTCCTGGAGTTCGAGGGTCTTCCAAGAAGAGAGAATGAGCACCTTTCCCACCAAACCACGGCCCTGCCCATACCCAACCCCATCTGCCCTGAAGGAGGGGAAGCTGGGGCCTCTGGACACGGTGGGGCTGCTGTGCCTGCCCCGGAGCTCATGTTCACGGCAGTTCACATCCCATTTCTGGGAAAAGGGCTGTGGACCCCACACCTGCCTTGCCTCCCACTGCCCCTCTGCTCCCTCCCAGAGGGCTTGGAGAGGGGCTCATTCTGCCACAAAGTAGGCAGTGACAAGAGCCACCTGGACCCCAGGGGGTTAAGGGAAGCCCCATTAGCCACCCCAAGGCCTCAGCAACCAGGTGAAAGAGAAGGGGGCGGACGCTGCTGAGGCCCCCTGTGTTCCAGGCACCATGCGGGGGGGATTCATGACTCCTGTCAAATTAAAGAGGCTGCCATTGCCATCTCCACTTTATAGATAAGGAAGGAGGCTCAGAGGGCAAGAGTCGCCCAAGGTCACACGGCTCCCCTTGGCGGTGCAGGCCCAGCTGACCCCGGTGGACTCGGGGGACGGTGCAGGCATTTGTGCTGTGCAAACCTTGCAGGCAAGGCCAGAAAGTGGCCCGTCCTGCTTCAGCAGCCCCTGCAAGCCTGGGGCCCCGACACTGGGGGAGGCATGCCAGAGTACTCTACACACAGGAAGTGGACTTTAGGACCCTCGTTCTCGGGGTGAGGAAGCTGAGTCTCAGAGATGCGAGGTTCCTGGTCACTTGACAGATCCTGGCAGCTGCTGGGGCAAAGCTGGGGTGCCAGACTGGCTGGGCTGGCGGGAGGAAGAATTTATAATGTTTGCAGCTTTGGGATTCTGCCTTCAAAGCTGACATGTCTACAGTCACATCAAAAGGTAAAGCCAATTCAAATGCAGCGTTTTCATTCAGAAATCTTGCAACGCCACTCACGCAATGCTCAGGCAAACCGGGGCTGTGGGGCCGGCACTGGGAGCAGACCCGGACGCACCTCACACGCCAGAATTGCTCTTCAGTAAGAACATCTCTGAGTTTCATGGAGATCTCCATCCTGCCCCGTTTGTCTTCTGTACCTGCCCTCTCTGAGCTGTCAGAAATTGCTCTGGGCTGTCATGAATCAAAGTGGGTGCCTTCCTTCCTTCCTTCCTCTCTCCTGCTGACAAATGCTCCACTTCGTAGGGAACAGCTCAGGAACTTACTTAAGATCAGCTAAAACATTTGGAGGAAGAAAATTGCTTCTCCTGCTACCCTAGCATGTTGCCAAGAGGTAAAAAAAAAAGCATATAATCCCTAGGATAGATGGCACCTTTCTCTGTGTGCCAATGAGGAGATGTCAAAGGCTCTAAGGAATGAATTTCGTGCTTTATTTTATTGAGATATAACTGACATATAACATTATATTAGTTTCAGGTGTGCAACATAATGATTCGAGGTTTGTATATATTGCAAAGTGATCCCCACAATAGGTCTAGTTAACATCATTCTCCACACATAGTTACCGAATTTTTTTCTTGCGATGAGAACTTTTAAGATCTAGTCCCTTAGCAACTTTAAATATGCAATACAGTATTGTTAACTATAGTCACCCGGCTGTGCCTTACACGCCCAGGACTTACTTATATTAGAACTGGAAGTTTGTACCTTTTGACCAGCTTCACACATTTCGCCCACCCTGAATTTCATTTTTTAAATCCAGTAGCAATTTTTTGCTTTCAATGGGCTGCCGGGTGTGCCCGAGGCTTGCAAAACACAGGACTGCCCACTCGATGGGTTTTTACACCCACACACCCCTCTGGGGTGTGCAGTCGGTGTTCAAGTTAAGTTTGTTCTTTTGGCCTTACTCATGTTCTCCCTAACTTTGTTTTCTAAGTCCTCTCTCACACTTGTTAACTGGCCCGGACTCCCTCAACAGAAGCCTCCAGCCAAGGGGAGGAAGAGGCCACTTTCTGGGGATCGCCTAGGGCAGCCACTGTGACAGATGCCAGCCCAGGGCGGGGCGCACTGCTGTAGTTGTTGGATGAATGTGTGGCGCCTGGGTGGGTATGAAGTTAGAGACCCCCAGACTGGACTCATGGAGCTAACACACACAAACCGGGCAGGACCGGCATAGGGGACAGCTCTGAGTGCCCCAGGGCAGGACCCCAGGCCAGGAATGCAGGCACCAAGAGATGCCAAGCCCAGGAGCCACTATGGGTGGTCCTGAGGAGACAGGAAAGAGTCCCACGGTGCTGTATAGACTCTGCTTCATGGCTTGTCCCCTACCTGCCCTGCTTTGGCTAGCACAGGAGGGAACTCAGTGAGGGCACCTGGGAATGGGGAAAGGGTAGGAGGAGCCACAGAGAGAAAGGTGGGCCACAGGGACCAAAGGACCTTCAGCTGCCTCTGGGGACATTAGCAGGACCATTGGACCCCTTGGCTGGCTCCCAAAGGGCAGGCATGTACTGGTGGGGGGGCATGGATGGCGCCTCGAGTCCAGAGCAGGTAAAAGGCAGAGCTACGCCTGCTGCTGTGTGGCATGAGGCAGCAGAAAAGGAGGATTTTCAGAGTTTCTGCACTTATGGCGCCTCCCTCAGGCTGTGGGAAGGAGGGCCCTGTCCTGACAGGGTTTGCCTGGAACCCAGCAGGTTCCAGGTGAGCCGCTGGCCATGTGCCTGCAAGAAGACATTTAATCTTCCCCTGGCAACAGCTCCTGGGAGTTTTCCAGGAGTCTCTGGGTAACCAGATAGCCCTTGCCAGCCCTGGATGAGGAAGCCAATCCCCAGCAGTGGACAGGATGGTCTGGCATTACGGGGCAGCCTCTGAGGCCAGGCCGCAGGGCAGGACGACCTGCATCCCCAGACATCGGATGCTGCGGCCAGAGGTACAGAAACGCAGGGGCTGGGGCCTCCTGCCCTCCTGGCTTTCCCAGCAGCTTCTCTCAAAAGGGCCTTCAGGACTTCTGGACGAAAGATAGGAATCCTGGGGCTGGGAAGACCTGTGAGTAGAGTGGGCCTCGGGGCCCTGCGGACAGAGTCCCTGACGCTGGCTGATTTCAGCCCCACAACAAGGGCGGGTTGCGTGTCCCCCAAGGGTCCACTGCTGAGTTCTTTCTTACTCCTGCCTGATCGAACATAGAACATCACACCCCTGCCACCCTGGCCCCTGGCTGGGCAGATGCCCAGGCCCCCCACGCCGCCCCAGGGTGGCTCTCAGTTCTCCCCCCAACTCCTCTCCTATGCATGAGGGCCTGGAAAGCTTTTCCCACTTCCAGCCACACCAGTGAGGCGTGAAGAGCAGTCATGTGGGGGCAGCTGGGGGAGTGAGTGTGGTTTCCCCTAGACTCCCAGGCCAGACGGAGCAGAGGGGCAGCTGGGGCTGGCCCAGGGGACCACGGAGGCTGGCCAGACAGAGAGCTGGCCCCGTTGTCCACCCAAGGCTCCGACTGTCTCTCCATGAGCAGCCCCTGGGGTGGGGTGAGAATATCCAGGAGCAAGAACACCCACAGGTGAACTGGGAGGGCTGACCTGCTGCCCGGTCGGGGGGTGGGGACCCACACTGTCTACCAGCTCCAGGGGCGGGTCGGGGTGGGAGGGAGGGATGATACGTGTGTGCTCCACCACCCTCCCCTGCTCTGCACTCTGTCCCAGGGAACCACATCTCTCCTGCCCCCTACATCTGGCTTCCAGGTAGGTTTTGGCCATTGGGAGGTGTCTGCAGAAGAGAGGAGACCCGAGAGAATTCATGCCCCATGCTCTGCTCACCATGGCTCCTCCGCCAGCAGCCACGTCCCCACTGAGGCTCCAGTTCCCACCGGTGAGCACCCTCTCCCTGCGGCACCCTGCTGGGCAGCCCCAGCCCTTGGAATGCCAGCACCTCCCCTCCTCCTGCTGTCTTTCCAGCCGTGGGCGTGGCGATGCATCCCGCTGTCGCTGATCTCTGTGTTGCCTCATTGTCCCCTGAGTCCAGACATGAGTCTTCTGTAGAGTTTGGACCGGCATCTCTCCCATTACAGTGTGGATGCTCATCTGGTTCAGTAGGTCTGGAGCATTGCTAACAAGCTCCAGGTGACACTGATGTGGTCGGTCCTCGGGCCACACCTTGAGAAGGGAGGACCAGGGAGATTTTTATTTTCCTGAAACAATGTGCCAGGCCCTCTGCTAGGTCACACAGGTGAAACAAATTGACCTGTTTGTGATCCAGGGAGGGAGACAGACACAGTCAGATGACACAACCACACATCACCATAAATGACCCCATTAGTGAGTGCTCCAAAGGATGGACAGGTGGCTGTGAACAGTCGGGTCCTCGGGACGGCTTCCTTGACACCTTGATGAAGCCGTGTGTGAGCCGAGAACCAGAGAAGGGGCGGCGGGAGGTCTCAGGAGCAGAGCATGAGCAAGGCTGCGTGACAGAGGGACTGTGCGTTCTGTGGTCCGAGAGGAGGCCAGCCCGCTGGAGCACAGTGAGGACTCCCCGGGGAGTGGGCCCACAAGCTCAGGCTGCCGGGCACCGAGCTGGCTCCTCTTCGCCCACAAGAGGGTCTGCACCTGAGCTCCGCTCCCCATGCGCTCAGGCCTCCCCATCTCCCGCGGCCTGAGTCCAGCTTCCAGGAAGGTCTCCAGGTGCCGGCAGCTGGGGCTCTCAGACACCTCCTGCTCGGCTGGCAGCCACCCCCAGACTGCCTGGCGCCTGAGCTTGGCTGCTCCTTCCTGACAACAAGGCTGTTGTGGAGCCCGCATTAAAAAGGGGCAGTAGCAGGGCGCAGGTCCCTGCCCACACACATAGACACGGGGTGGGGACAGCAAGCCTCTTCCCGCTGACCCTTGGTGGTTTAGTTTCCCCAACAAAACCCACTTCTTCTCCCCATATGCTGGGTGACACTGTAGCATTTTCCTTCACCCCCTCACCACGTTAGGGCTTTGTCTATGTCTTAAGAGCAACGGAAGCCATCAATGGGGTAAGCGTTATCTGACTGCGCTTGTGTTTCCAACACCTTTAGGGCTACAGCATGAAGAGTGGGCTGTAGGAAAAGAAGCAAGAGAAATGGGGGAGACCATGGAGAGAGGAGCTGTGTGTGGACATGGCAGCCCTGATATCAGCTCAGGGGCCCTGGGCCACAGAAGCACCAGGAGCCAGGAGCTGGCACTGAACGCTGAGGTCAGCCTGCTGTCGGCGACTGGCACTGGGAAAGAAAGCAATGCTGGGCCTATCCCCCAGGGACTGGGTAGCCAGGGCGGGAACTGTAACGACTCAGAGGGCCCTTCCCTGTTGGTTGGTCGCTGTGCTGAGATTCAGGGGCGGGGCAGGGCCCATGGGGCTGTAGATGGGGAAGCCAGGACGGGCACCGGGAGGCTGGGCCCCACTCTGGGTCAAGCTTGCAGAGAGACACAGGGGACAGAGTGGGGAGTAGAAGTGGAGCTCAGGGACGGGGCGTGGCTGGGCACCTGGGAGGACAGGAGCAACCTGGTCTGAGGAGAGAGATGGAAGGCCAGGGGCACCCCCACCTCAGAGCCGTGGCTTACAGCCAGGGCAGCTTGGCAGCGGTGGCCATAGAGGCCAGTTAAATACTCCATCCTTGGAGGCACAGCGCTCCTGGCTCAGCCTGGACAGCAGGTGCCTGGCAGGTTGGGGTGCAGAGGTGGGGAGTGCGAGGGTCGTGGTGGGCCCTCCCAGGAGGGGCCGCAGCACAGGAGGAGGTGGTGGGGGCTCGGGCCCTGAGGAAATCTCAGCATCACCCCTGAGGGAGTCTGTGTCAGCCACGGAGAATAGACACTGTAAATCGGGCCACAGGCTTCAGAGGGCTGCAGGCATGGGGGATCCAAGTCCTTGGGCTTTTAGGTGCTCCTCTAAGGCCTTAGCGCCCCGGATGTGTGGTCGCTCCTCGTCTGTCCACCTGACCAACCCTTCTCCGGGGGACCCCGGAGCTAGCTACTTCCCCTGCATTCTCTCAGTTATCAGGCTGGAAAGTGGGGTGGCATATAGAATGGAACTTGGTGTTAGCATTGATCCCAGCTGAGATCAACAGTCAAACTCCCACATTGGAAAGCTGGCAGTTGGCAAGTCCACGGTGGGCTTTCCAGAAAGCGAAGCCAGTCCCTCTGCCTCACCCACCACCCAAGCGGAGCCTCCATGAGCAGCAGAAGACCTGAAATGGAAGGCCCCGGCAGGGGGTGGGGTGGGAGGGGTGGGGGGGTGGTTGAGGGCGTCGCAGCAGCGAGTTGGCGCCTGTGGGGAAGCGCGGCTTCTCTCTCTGAGTGGGGGAGCTCACACCCTCCAGCCCCAAGTAGGGGAGCCTGGAAGCCCTTCCTGGAAGCCAAGCAGACCCCGAGGGAAATGTGTACAGCTTCCATCCTCTCCAACTCTGGGGGTGTTGCTTTCTCTCTCCTGCAGCCTCCTCCAAGAGGGCACAGGGTGCAGGCCCGGGGGTCCCTCCGTCTCCGACATTCACTTACTGGGGCCAGGCCTGCAGGCCCCGCTGAGCTCCTAGGTCTAGACCAGCTTTGCATCTTGGAATTTTGGGTTTTTTTTAATCTTCATACCTCAATAAAAAAGTTTATTATCAAAAAAACAACAAACAAAAATGCCCTGTGGTGTGATCTCACCCTGATTGTGTGATACCCGCCCCATCCTCTCAGCTTCCTCATCTGTGAACCAGGTGACCCGCCTTGGTTCTGTGCAGGGTGGTTGTGGAGATGTGATGGGCTCATGTGGTCCGGACGTGAGGGGAGGGAGCCCTGTGGAAAGGGTGACGCTGGGCTCCACAGGGTCACTGCCCATCGGACAGCCCTGGGGGTTCTTGGGGGTGGCAGAGGCTGTCCTTGATGAGCTTGGGGAAGAAAGAGAGGCTCGTCAGAGCAGAGGGGAGGACAAAGCCTTCTCCCCAACATCCAGGGCCCCGAGCCCGGCAACCTCCCCTGAAATACACACATTCACACTGGCGCACTCTCAGACGCACATACACATACACACACACACACAAATTCACACTTGCACGCCGCCGTCATCAGACCTTCTGTGGACAGACACCCAGGGACCCGTATCTGAGGGAGCCAGCGGCACCAAGTCACTGGGCATGTGCACGCCCAGCTCCGCTACTTAAAGGTGGGGACAGACCCGGTGGCTGAGAGTCGCCATCGCTGTGACACTCACTCCTTTGTGCTTCACTGGACACAGAGCAGCCACCAGCCCCAAGAGCAGCTCCAGGCTGGGTCCACGCTGGACGCAGGAGCAGGCAGCCGGCGGACCGGGCAGGGCTGTGAGGATGGAGGGAAGCTGGGGGGCCGGGCGCAGCTAACGTCCTGAGCTCCCCGTGCCCTTGACTTCTCTGTGGGCTGGAGAAAGGACCGCTTCACCTCAAGATGAACCCTCCCTCAGAGCCACAAGTCCCTCTGGGCCTGGCCCAGGAGCCCGGCTGTGTGGCCACCCCAGCCTCACCCAGCAGGTGGAGTGGCTCCCGGAGCAGCACCTCCAGCCTGGGCCAACCTCTGCCCGTCGGTCCCACGGTAAGCCTGGGGCGAGCGTGTGCACCCACAGAGCCGTCCCTACCCCTACCCTGGTCCCTCTCCTGGAGAAATAGAGGGGCTTTGATAGGGAGACAGAAAAGGCCTGAGCTCTGTTGTGGAACCTTGGGCTCGTTACAGGACCTCTCTGAGCCTGCCCTACACAAAGAGGCCAAGAAAGGCGAGTGTGGGCAATGTCTTTCCCTGTGGAGAGCATTCAAGGAACAGAAAGGTCAGCCCTGGAGGACAGGGGTTGGGATGGCCCAGGCCTGCCCTTGGCTGTGTCTACTCCTTTCTGAGGGTGGTGAGATGCCCCATGGAACCTTCCAGAGAGGAAGGCATACCCTAGGCCTCTGGATTTCTCCTGCCCAGAGTGAGGCATTAGGTGCCTTCTGCTGCCTCCATCATCCTAGCCATGGCCCCAGGACCCTATCCCACCAACCCCACTGGTATCTGGGGAGGGCTGAGGGTACACTCAGGACCCCGGGATGCTGGCCTAGGCACTGGCCAGGATGGGAAGGCTCCAATAGTTTTAGGGGCTAGGACAGGACAGAGACTAAACCACTCCCTTTCTCCCCAGAAGGGAGCTGAGGGTGAGGGGTCTTTAAGGCCTTGTAGGGTCTAAGTGGCCTTGTAGGGTAATGACCTCCCTGGGAGGCCTAAGCTTTCTTTTTAATGGGAATTCTTTTCCTCTCTCTCATGCCAGGCATCAAGGTCAGCCCCGCCCAGTTATACTGTGGGGGACTATACCCTGTTCTTTGAGGCTGGGGCGGGGGGACCCCCGAGGAAAGGTGCTCCACCCATTCCACCACCCCAGAGTCTAAGGGGCCTGGAATACCATTGCTGACTATCCTGGGTGCTTGGGAAGGGGCCCATACAGTGGAGAGGAACCCACCCAGGGGATGGGGCTGCCTTCTCCCCAAGGAAAGGGAGAGTCACCCCAGCTGTGTCCCTGACTACCAGACGTGTCTGTCTGTACCACCAGCCTCCAACAGGTGGTCGAAGCCCACTCCAGGGAGCCTTACGCCTCTGCACCATGGAATAGGAGCTTGGGTTCAACTTTCAGGAGATCCACATTTCCATTCTGGCCCAGCCACTGGCTAGCTGTGTGGGCACGTGACTTTGTCACTCTGAGCCTCAGTTTCCTCACCTGCCCTACCGGAAGCCCTTCCTTCTCAGGGCTATTTGAAGGTGACAGGATAACATGATGCCCTGGTTTCTCTGTCTCTCCACAGGCAGCCGGGGCTCAGGCTGATGCGTGGGTCCCCTTCCCCACAGTCGATGTTCCAGACCACGCCCACTACACCATGGGCACCGTGATCCTGCTGGTGGGGCTCACGGGGATGCTGGGCAATCTGACGGTCATCTATACCTTCTGCAGGTGCCCAATTGGCGGGGCTGGGGCCTGGGCATTGAGGGGAGCCAGCCATGCAGAGACAGGGCAGAACACACGGCAGGAATGCTGGTTAAGGCTGGATGAGGAGGTGGGCCCAAGCCCTCAATGATCTCAGGCCCAGGCCTCGATCTTCAAGCCCAGGGAAGGGGCTGAAAAGTGGTCCAGGGCAGTTTGAGTGGCACATGCCAATCAGGCCTCAGGGACACCCTTTGTGTAGGACGGGTGTCCCCGTGATGTACGGGTCTCGGCCCATTCGGCCCTGCTCTCAGCTCATCTCCACCATCACCTGCCCCAGCGGGCATCCTCCCTCTGCCTTCACGAGCAGGCACCAGGGTCCTGAGTCCTCAAGCCGCCCGCAACCAGCCCCAGCTTCCTTCCCCACCTGCCCTGTCTGCAGGCCGAATGACTGAGACATGCAGGTGGAGGAGCCAACCGCTGGCTCTACCACCTATTAGCTGAAACGACCTTGGGAAGGTCATTCACCCTCTTTGAGTCCACTTTTCTTGTCTGCAAAATGGGGTTGTGATTTACTTCCTGGAGTCAATGTGATGATTAAGTAGGGTCGTGGATGTGCTGTGCCGAGCAAATGAGTGTTTGAATCCTGGCTGTACTGCTTCCTGAGTCTTGTGCTCTGGAGAAAGCCACTTCACGAGTGGGAGCCTCAGTGTTCTTATCTGGAAAATGGGGGTAGATGTGAAGATGGGCGAGGGGTGTGGGTGAGGACGGCAGAGATGCTGGAAGAAGGGGACGAGGAGGGGTGTCCAAGGAGGAAGGAGGCATGAGAAGCTCGTGGGAGGGCACAGTCTGAGCTCACAGGAGGAAGAGCCTGGGAAGAAGCCACTTGGAAGACCTTGGCCTGGAGGGGCTCAGAGAAAGGAAGGGTGTGTCCAAGGAGAAAGTGTGGGTCACCCAGAGGGAATCCAGAGGGCGAGAAGAGGAAACAGACGGACGCCTCCAAACACCAGCTTCTGCGGGGCTGCACAGCAACCCTGGGAGAACCATCACTCTCTGCCTCGTTCTGAGGGAGGTGCCCCCAGAACACAGGGCAAGGGTTGCCACCTTGAGGGGGTCTCAATTCTCGGCCCGCACTGCCAGCCTCCAGAGCTGTTTGGCTGGTACTTGCTGGGCAGCGGGATGGACCTGCGTCTCAGCGGCTTGTGCTTGCGTGCATGCACACACGTGCATGTGCTTGCGCATGGGCGTGCGTGTCTGTGCATGCATAGTTAGGGAAACTCCCAAGCAGAAGCACCTCCTGACGGCTTCCCCTCTTACAGGAGCAGAGGCCTCAGGACACCTGCCAACATGTTCATTATCAACCTTGCCGTCAGCGACTTCCTCATGTCCTTCACCCAGGCGCCTGTCTTCTTTGCCAGCAGCCTCTATAAGCAGTGGCTCTTTGGGAAGGCAGGTAGACACCGGGGGCTCCCTTTCGCTGGAGGGTGGAGGAGGGTCGTGACAGGGGATGCCCACAGTGGAGGGGGCCCCGATGAGGAGGGGATTTGCTTTTCCCGGGCAGAGGGGTAGCCGCCCTCCATCCCGTGAGTGAGCAGGAAGGAAGGCTCCAGTTCCAGCCCTGAGGCCTCCGCCAGACTCCGCCAGATGTGGCAAGTAGGCAGGGTGGAGAGGGACTCAGGGCTGCATTTCTTGAGAGGTGGGGGCAGGAGCCAAGTACAGGCCGTCCCCAGACCCTCCCTCCCCTGGGGTACGTGATGGTCTCCATGCCGAGGGCTGAGTTCAGGTAGCTGTGCCCACAGGCTGTGAATTCTATGCCTTCTGTGGGGCTCTCTTCGGCATCACCTCCATGATTACGCTGACGGCCATCGCCCTGGACCGCTACCTGGTGATCACACGCCCACTGGCCACTGTTGGGGTGGTGTCCAAGAGGTGGGCAGCACTTGTCCTGCTGGGCATCTGGCTCTACGCCCTGGCCTGGAGTCTGCCGCCCTTCTTTGGCTGGAGTAAGTGGGCTGGGGGAAGACAGGCTGAGAGGGGAATGTTCAAGGGGCTGGTAGATGGACTTGGGGTGACCAGAGGCAAGAAGGGCCAAGGGACTGCCTGAACCCCGTGGCAGGTGGACATCCATGGGGCATGACAAGCAGCAGAGCTTGCACCCTCGGGCGATCAGAGGATGACCTGGGCTCCCATCCCCAAATACAGAGGGGAAAATCACATGGTTCCTGGGAGGCAGAAAGTGACAGGTGCATCTGGAGCTGGGTTTGCAGCAAGTCAGACGGGCAGGGGTTGGGGTGTGAGGCCTCAGCAGGCAGGGAGGTTGGCAGCAGGGCACCGCCCTACTGGGGCGGGACCAGGAAGCTGGCTGAAGCCCGGGGCGGTAGGACCCTGGGGCTCTGGTGAGGTCTCTGCTCCAAACTGGCAAGAATGAGCGACAGTGGGCTTCGCCAGCTGTCTCCTGAGCTGGTGCCCCTGCCAGAAGCGGCTTGGAAGACTCCCCTGCACAGGCCCCGACTTCTTCCCCGCAATGGGCTGGGGCCCGCATTCTGGGATTCCAGGCCCCACATCCCAAGTGCCTGCTGCCTGGGAGCCTGATGGCCTGGCCATGGCTCGCAGGCGCCTACGTGCCCGAGGGGCTGCTGACCTCCTGCTCCTGGGACTACATGACCTTCACGCCGTCCGTCCGCGCCTACACCATGCTGCTCATGTGCTTCGTGTTCTTCCTCCCCCTGCTCGTCATCGTCTATTGCTACGTCTTCATCTTCAGGGCCATCCGGGAGACAGGCCGGTAAGAGCGGGGCATGGAGGAGGGGCCGATGGGAGGGGACTGCGCCCTTCGCCAGGGCCACCTCTGTCCCACCCCAAGGCTCACATGTGCACCCACCCCCCTGGGCCCTCCCAGCTCCTGATGAGCAAAGTCAAGCTGAGCACATGCTTATGGGGTGGGGGCCGAGAGACTAGGACCTTCCGAGGAGGGGACCTTTAGCTCAGCCAGGGGGTCTTGGGGGCAGAGAAGGTACTAGCTCAGGCTGGATGTGATGGAGAACTTTCTAGGAGTCAGGGCTGCCCGCACTGGAGGGGATGGTCCCCTCCCGAGTGCCCCCAGGGGCGGGTGGTTCAGGGAGGCCCCCCTGACAGTGGCCATGACCCTGGCACTTACTGCCACCTGAGCAGGATCAGACCCAGCCTCTGCGCCCTTCCTAGGGCCCTCCAGACTTTCGGGGCCTGGGAGGGCGGCGGCGAGTGCCCCCGGCAACGGCAGCGGCTGCAGAGCGAGTGGAAGATGGCCAAGATCGTGCTGCTTGTCATCCTTCTCTTCGTGCTCTCCTGGGCCCCCTACTCCGTGGTGGCCCTGGTGGCCTTTGCGGGGTGGGCAGTGGCTAAGGGACTGGGGCAGGGGTTGAAGAGGCAGGGGAGGGAACCCTGGGACAGCCTCTCCCTCCTGGGCCCAAGCCCAAACCCCCCACCCTCACGCCCTAAGTCCAGCATCACAGCCTTGTGCTCCTCCTGTGGAGTGAGGCGGCCCCCGCCCCAGCTGGGCCTGCCTACTTCCTGGAGGCATGAGGGCACAGGCGGGGGACCCCCGGACCACACCGAGTTGGGCCTGAGGGCCTACAAGGGATGCCAGATCCTGCTGGACCCCTTGGGAACTCACAGCTCTCCTGGAGGTCCTGGTTCTCTCTTCACCTGGCCTGTGAGCACACAGCCGGGGGTGCTGCTTGCCTCCTGCCACATAGGCCTTTGCAGCTACAGTCTGGGCACTTTGCAGCAGCATGGGTGTAGGCTAGACTTCAGAAGCACTTTTGAGACAGCGAGAGCTATTAATCCTTGGAAGTGTTTGGGTACTTCTCCTTGCCCAGGAGCAGCCTGGTCCCCTCTCGGGCCCTCTTGTGAAGTGAGAGGCAGGGGAGCAATGGGCATCATGTTGGGGTGCAGTGTGGGGAGAGCTGGGCAGGGGCAGGTCATTGGGGGTAGGGAGGGCTTATAGCCTGCAGCAATAGGCTCCAGGGGATGGTGAGACCTGGAGAAAGCCCCCAACATGGCACCTCTCCTCCCAGCCCCTCCCTGCTTCCAGGGTCCCACTCCCCTCAGATCAGAACTCTCCCCAGTGCTGTGGTCTCTCCCAGGGTGCTGACTTGGCTGTGCTGGTTTGGGCTGGGCCAGGCCGGGCCGTGCCCTCAGCAGGACCTGGCCTAGAGGGAGAAGGTCCCTGAGATGGGAGGTGGGCTGTGGAGTCTTTGCAGAGGGCCAGCTAGCAGGGGGACCACAGCTTCTCTGTCCTAGGTACGCGCACGTGCTGACGCCCTACATGAACTCAGTGCCGGCTGTCATCGCCAAGGCCTCTGCCATCCACAACCCCATCATTTATGCTATCATCCACCCCAAGTACAGGTGCGGCCCTCCTCCAGGCCCCAGCCCCAGGTGGCCAGGCCCATCCTCACAGACACCGAGAGCCTGGGCCAGCAAATGGGATTAGAGGCTGACCATCTTTCCTGTCTCTTGTACATGCATTGGGCAGGGGCCTCTGAGCAGCTGGGAGCCGTCAGTGACACCAGGTGGGATCTGGAGCTGGTGCAACCCCCTCTGCTGCTCCAGCTTGGAGGAGCATCAGGGCTCCCTGAGCAGTGTCCAATCCTAACTATGGGATTTTTGGAGCCAAGGCCAAAAGGCAGTCAGGATAGCTGATCAGCAGTGCTGTCCCCTGCAAAGAGAAGGCCCCCAGACAGCGACATCTTGGAGAGTCCACAGCAGGGAGAGCTCGGCAGCTCGGCTTCAAAGGCCCCGGCCAAGGCCGGCGGGTGGTTCTGGCCCAGCGCCCTCTGCTGATGGGTCCCAGCACGGCTGGCCTCCCCCATGCGGGGACTTCAGTGCTTCCTTTTGCCTGGTGGTGTCAGTCACTCACCGCCCTGCTGAGGCCAGCTTCAGGCCTCAGGCAGTCCAGCTCAGAGGTTGCTCAGGACTGTCCCGGGTCCTCATTTACAGAGATGTGGCTAGGGTCAGCCACTTGAGGGCTGGAACCAACCACCTGGCTAAACCCACGACCCTAAGGCTCTCTCCCCATGTCCACGGCCCAACATCTCTCTGTCCATCCCTCCCCCTGTGGGTCTGTCAGTGTCTTTTACCCCAGCATCTGTCTGTCCTTCCTCATCACTTCTTGCAACTCCTAGTGTCTGTCTGTCCATTCCCATCACCCCATCATCTATCTGTCTCTCCTTATAACCCCAATGTCTGGACCTCCCTATTTCCCCTGTGACTCTTTGTCCACTCCCATTAGTCCTGTACTGGTCTGTCCATCCACCCCCATCCCCCTCGTGTCTGTCTGTCCATCCCCCTAACTAGATGTGCCATCCCTGCAGAATGGCCATCGCCCAGCACCTGCCCTGCCTGGGGGTGCTGCTGGGCGTGTCGAGCCAGCGCACCCGTCCGTACACCAGCTACCGCTCCACCCACCGCTCCACACTGAGCAGCCAGGGCTCAGACCTCAGCTGGATCTCCGGACGGAGGCGCCAAGCGTCCCTGGGCTCTGAGAGCGAGGTGGTAAGGATGCTGGGCCCTCACTGGCTGCCACCTCGCCATCCTTTACTCAACCAGGCCTCTGGGCGGGGCTGCCTCTGAGACTCAGGGACCCTCAGGACCCTGGGACACTGGCCGGAAGAGCTCCTCACAACCTCCCCATGGCCTTCCCATGCATCATTCCCCCGACAGGCAGGGGCACTGGGACCAGAGACGCGATGGGTTGGCCTAAGGTCGCCCAGCAGCAGGGCCAGGACTGAACAGTGGTCCTCCCACTCCAGGCCATCTCTCTTCCGTGCTGGCACCAACCCAGAGGCTTGAGCCACAGGTTGGAAAGACTAGCGTTTCTGGCCCTTGATGGGTCTCCGGAGAGACAGGCAGGCGCTAGCTCAGGGACCTTGGCTCTCAGCAGTAAGCTCCCTCCTCTGGGTAGCCTTGAAAAGCCCACAGGATACAGTGGAAGCAGCACTGGCCCGGCAGCCAGAGGACCTAGATCCGAGCCTCAGCTCTACCACGGCCTCACTGTGTGAGCTCGGGCAGGTCACTCACCCTCTCTGAGCCTCTGTGTCCTCCTCTGAAAGGGAAAACAGTTACCTCTACACACAAGACTGGCTAGGGTGCCCAAGAGTGGGTGCTGACCCCACAGCTGTTGTCAGCCCTACGAGCTACCAGCCTCCAGCCCCTCCTTGGGGCCTGGAGCTTCAATGCTTCCCGATGTCCCCAGGACAGCACTCCACACCATGGGCTCCTGTCCCCAGCCACACTCAGGCTCATCCTTCACTGTGCCCACAGGGCCCACTGTGGGCCTCACCGAGAGCCTCCACTGACCTGCTCCCACTGCCCCCATCCCTGGGGGTCTCTGTCCAGGAGGAGCTGGCCCTTGCCTGAACCACTGCAGTGAATGACATCAAGGGGTGAATCTTATCTGATAACAGAGGCCCAGACCCTCATGAAGTCACGCCATCCCACATGCTTAAGAAGGCGCACAAGTGCACACACGCCCTGGCACATGCACTCACAGTTTGCAGGCATTCGGTGACCATCCGTCCTACAAACAGGGTCGTGGGCCTCACCTCAGTGAATATCTGTGGGGATGAGGAAGACAGGCCTGGGGCGGGGGGGAGGGGACAGGAGCAAGACTGTAGAATGCCCCTCTTACCTCACAGCAACTATCTTGCCTCTCCCAGGGCTGGATGGACACGGAGGCAGCAGCTGTGTGGGGCGCTGCCCAGCAAATGAGCGGATGGTCCCCCTGTGGTCAGGGCCTGGAGGACATGGAAGCCAAGGCCCCTCCCAGGCCACAGGGATGGGAAGGAGAGGCTCTCCGGAAGGTGATTGGGCCCAGCACCTGCCAATCTGTAAAGGGTGGGGACAAGGGGCACGTAGCCCAGGGAATGGCCAGGTAAGAGAAGCTTGCCCAATGCCTTCTGGGACTCACCCCATCCCTGTACCTTCCAGCTGTCTTTGCCTGCCTGGGGGACCTGGGGGGCCTCTGTGACTCCAGGATGCTCCAAGCAGGCCCGAGTGTGGTCTGTGGTTGCACCTGAGAGAGTCTGACCCTGACGTACATACATAGCAGGTGGTGGTGGCTATGCCATGCTCTGATGAGTATACAGCACGTGTGTAAGTGCGTGTGACCATGAGGGTGTGTGACGTGCAGCCAGCGAAGTGTGACTCACGCCTGCACGTGCTTTCTGTCACTGTGACACCACAGCACATGGGATTGAGTGTGCCCCAACGTGTCTGCTCTAAGCTGTGCGTGTGACCAAGCGTGGGTGGTGTGCACCTCTCTGTGTGATTGGAGACTGGACATACCTGGGGTGAGGGGGTGTTGCAAGCTGTGTATGTGCTCACTCCGAATACTCTAAGATTAGGATGTCACCCAGAATACTTGTGGCTATTAAAAGAAGGCCAGCTGTCAGCCCAAGTGCCTATGGAACGGAATGTCGATGGCGATTAGAGAAGGCCGTATTCTGGAACGCTGGAAATGCCATGTGCACAGGACCCGAGGCCACCCTTCCCCATGGGCTGACAGCTCCCCACCCTGCCCTCCGCTCACACCCACACAACAGCTCCCGGACTCTCTTGGGCTTCCCCAGAAAGCCCAGGACCAGAGACACTTTCTGCCTTCCTTCCTGAGGCTGCTCCCCACGTGCCCCAGGGAAGGGGAGCCCTGGGCTGCTCCTACCATTATGGGGCTCCTGCCTCCCCCAGCATTCCCATCCAGGGAGCACCCTCCCCTGATGCTCCAGCCTCGAGGAAGACTCACTGCCAGGCCCTGGGCGGGGGTACCGTGCACGGCCACGGAGGCCAGCCCGGCAGGTAGCACCCCCTAGGCGGGTGAGGGAATGAGGAGGCATGGAGCCTGTCCTAGAGGGAATACTGGGCCGGGGTGGGGCACTGGGCAGAGAGGGACAGCACATCGGCAGTCACCTAACATGTGTGATAAGCACTGGCCTCGAGGTGACAGCACACGGGGTGCTGAAAGCAGAGGCAAGTCCCCGAGGGCTCCCCAGGGAAGGCGAGGGGGAGCGGGGATGGCCAGGCAGGACCATGGGGGTGGACTTGAGGTCCAGGCTGAGGAAACAGCTCATGTGAATGCAGTGGGCCACAGGGGAGCTCGGCATGTCCTTGAACGGAATGTCACCCTGTGGCCCCAGGAGCAGCTAGAGGGCCCTGGGAGCCGGTGGCGGGGATGTAGAAGAGAAGAAGGGCAGGAGGTGGTAGGAGCCACAGGGGGGCCCCATCAGGTGCTGGCCTGAGGGCCCTCCAGGCATGACCCTGGGGCAGAGAGCCCCGGGAGGACTTAGTGGGGACGTTGAGGTGGACTTGGTCAGCTTTGCAGGGTAGCTAGGCTCTCTGCCGTGGCTGGGGAAGGACGAGTTGAGTGGAGTGCGCTGTGGAAGCCTGGAGGAGCCGGAGCTGGAGGACAGGCAGGGATGAGGCATTGAAGGCAGCAAGGAGAGAGGAGATGCCAGAGCCAGTGCTGTGGAAGAGGAGTGGAGGGGAGTGAAGAATGGGATGGTGGGGTGAGGAGACCTCAAGCTGGAGTTTGAGACCCTAGGGGACAAGCCAGGGGGACGTCCTTAGACATTGCCAGCTCCATCCTCTGAGTCACATTGTCTGTGGTCTGGGGGAAGGCCCATCCCCTAGCCAGAACACAACCTGGCCCCTCCATGCCACCTCTCTTCACCACTCGGTGACCCTAAACACAGAGGGTCATTGGGAGACTGCTCCCAGTGGGACACCCTGCTAAACAGGTGTGTGTGTGTGCTGTTTGTTTTCAGATCAAGGGGCTGCTCCCCAGCCTGGACCCCAGGATGTAGGGTGCCCAATGGCTCTCCTTCTCTTCTGGGACACATCCAGCCACCTCACGTCCCCCTCACACACACAGACCCAGGATTACCCTGTGAGCCTGCAGGCTTTTGAAGTGGCCGCGGCACCCATGCTGTGCTGGATTCACGGCTCCGTACCACTAGACTCCTGCCCTGCTAAGTGGTCTGCACCCACGTCTCAGCTCAGCAGCCTGCACCCCAGGCACAGCCTGCCGAGTGGGAGCGCAGGCCCTCCCGCTTCCAGCATTCTCCACCTCTCCTCAAATGCTGTGTGCTGTGATTGTCCAGGCGAGGACAATGGTGATGGCTCCGTGGGACACATCAGTTATTTATGAGCTGCCTCTGCACCCGGGCTGGGCACTTCCCCGGCACGGGAAGGCCAGCACAGCGTCTCCCACAGCTGGCAGTTGAAGCCCAGCAGAGATCTGTGTGTGCTGGAAACTGTCCCTCACCTCTGGCTTCTCCCCCCATGTGCCCTTTCCGCCACGGCCCACGCTCTTGTGCACACACGCATTTTCGGGCACCTTCTCCTGTATGTACATATTTGCATGCACACCAAGCACAAACTGCACCTGGGGTTTGTTTCAAATCAGTGGTCTAAATTCATCCCAGGGCTGTGTGTCTCTGACAGGGTATAGGAAAATAAAAAGCAGAGGAGTTCACCTCGCACAAGCATGGTCTCTACCTATTGGTGCCATGAGAGGAGAGAGACCCGGGACCTGGCCTCTGATGCTCACGGTGGTAGCCTCTCTTCCTCCCCTCCCTCTGTCCCAACCTTATCATTCTCACTCCTGAGGCCCATCTCGAACTGCACTGCCAGAGACAGAGTGGAGGGGCGACAAAGACCCGGCTTGCCCCCACCCCCACTCCCCAGTGAGCTGCTGTTATCAGGAACCAGCTCTGCCCAGCCTGTGGGTACCAGCTGCTCCCTGGCTGGCTTTGGGTCTCCCAGGGGAGGCAGATGGAAGGAGGCTGGCCTTCCCCTTTAAGAGCATCCTCCAGCTCCCCCTCCCTTTCCCCAGAGGCAGCAGCAGGCATCAGGCGGGTGCCCCAGTCCAGAGAAAGAACCTGCAGCTCCAGGTACAGCCTAGCCCGGGGCTCCCCCTCCCTGTGCAGGGTCAGCTTCATCGTTTCCCCACACTGGTCGGGCCCTGCTGATGTGCCCTGCTGCTGGGTCCTCCCCAGCCCGACAGGACAGAGCCCGCTGGGAAAGAGGATAAGGCTGGAGTCAGGGATGGAGGAGATGGGGCCTGGGCAGGGGCGGGGGATGGTATGGGGGAGGGTCAGGTGCTGGCCATGAGCTGCTGGGCTGCATGATACCGGTAGAGGAGGTGGTGAAGTGGAGGAGACAACACAGAGCCCTCCCTGGCTTCTCCCACTTGGTATTTTTGTGACCTTGGGCAAGTTACCAAATGCCCCTGTGATGTGGGGACTCCTTCTACCTTGCATGCTGGATGTGCCAGGCCCAGGGCATGGGGTGGGGTGCTGGCAATTCACACGCAGGCCTGCACTGAGTACTCAGGGCCCAGCTCAGCTCCATTGCCTTCTCCCAGCCTCAGTTTCTCCAGCTGGGAGCCAGGGTGGGCCTTGATCTGTCTCCTGACCACACAGGGCCTTAGGTTTCTTTTGGGGAAGGGCTGAGGAAGGTATCTGGACCCACGCAAGCAAGAGTCCCCAGAGGCCCAGGCCCCCACCCAGAACACACTGTCTCTGGGTTACCGGCTGAACACACCGCACACGCTTCCCCCTCCCTGGCCCTCCTGGCCCCGTGTCCCAGCAGCTGAGCCAATGGCATCTTCTCCCCTCCTCCCTGCCCCCTGCCATTCCTGCTCAAAGGGCACCGGGGCCTGGCATGCGACACTGGCAGCTGGAGCTTTCCATGCTGCTGTCAAGTTTTCCAGAGCACAAATGAGACAGGAGAGCCAGGAATAATCGCCGGGCCCCCAGGGGGTCTGGAGGGTGTGGGCCTGCCACAGACCTGCTTTCAGCCCCTGAGCCCAGGGTGCAGGCTGGTCCCCCCACCTCTGCCGGGTCTGGGCATTGGGAGGTGCCTGCAGCCACTGGGAGCTCATTATCTGGCACGAGTCCCCAGCGTGGCCTGGGTTTACTCCCTGTGTGACCTTGGAGAAGTCACTTAACCTCTCTGAGCCTTGTTTCCCATGGGCCGAGGCAGCAGTCTCTCAGGATCTGAAAGGATAATGGCATGAAGGGCCCAGAGCTGAGCTTGGCTGTGCCCGGTTGCTGCTCTCATTATGATCGTTTTTATGGCTGGACAACCCTGGGTCAATTGCTGGTCTCCTGAGCTGAAGCTCTGTCCAGAGCAGCTGGAGGCTCAGCTCAGTCCAAGGCACCAGCAGGGCTCCGTAGTGGATAAGGCACAACCTCAGGGTCCTCACCAGGGAGCACAGGGAAGGAAAGATGCACGTGACAGAGCTCTTGCTCAAGGATGCTCAGCCACAGTCTTCTGGACAAAGGGGTAGGTGTGGCCGGGCAGAGAGAGAGAACATCTGGGCTCTCCAGAGGGCAGAGGGAGCAAGGAGAGGAGAGCAGGGGACAAGAGCACTATCACTGATCTGGCCAGCCCCCTATCCTGCCCCCTGGGGGGATACTGGGTGCCGGACAGCCCTCCCCAGGGGCTATATTAGAGGCGTGAGTCACGGTGGACTGGCTGGGAGGCCGTAGCGGGCGGGCACAGTGTAGGGTTACAGTCCATTTATGGGCGCGGCAGAGGGCCCATATCAGTGTCCATGGCATTCGTTCCCAGCTATTCTTAGGAGGCTCTGAGGAGCTCCACACAGCCTGGCCAGGCAGCAGGGGACGGAGCAGGCAAGGCTGAGGGTCGGGGCAGGGCCGGGGTGTGGGCTGGGGAGGCCGGTGCATGAGGGCTCTCTCACTCCCCTCTTCTCCCCTTGTCCACAGAGGCCGCCGCTGTCAGCACCAGCATGTCCTACAGTGTGACCCTGACCGGGCCTGGGCCCTGGGGCTTCCGTCTGCAGGGCGGCAAGGACTTCAACATGCCGCTCACTATCTCCCGGGTGAGTGTGCCCTGCCCACAGCCTGGCACCTGCAGGCGCGGGGCATGCTCAGAGGACCGGGCGCGCCTCTGTCCATCTGTCCTTCCCAAGGCTCTCGGAAAGCAGAGCATGCCCCAACCCGGGGCTGCGGGCTGGGACTGGACCTGACTGAATGCTGCTGGCCACAGGCCCCTGGTCTTGGCCACAGCTGTTGCCCAGCTGAACTGGCCAGCCTGCTGAGGGTGAAACTTGGGCAAGCAGAGGGTGCTTTGAGCAGAGAGGGAAGTGCTGAGTCCACAGAGCGGGTAGGCAGGTGGACAGAGCGCACAGTACCCTCCCAAGCCCTTATCCTGGAAGGTGGGCTCAAGGTGCCCCTAAGCCTGGAGCGTCTGCCTGGAAGCTGGCAGCCACTTTGGGCAGAGAGCACTCCTGGCATGGAGAGGGCTGGGGACAGGCGGGTGGACAGGTAGATGGACAGACTGTTGACATCGGCTGCCGTGCCGTCGGGGCTCAGGGCTGGCCTGGGCTGGGCTCCAGCACCCGCTCCATCCCAGACTCCTGATAACAGCTTCCTCCTCCCTCCACCTTCCTGGGCCCGCCAGGGACCCCGTGCTGGCCTTGTGGGGCTGGGCCTTCCTCCCTCACCTGCCCGACCCCCCACCCATCCACCCAAGGCCGCTCTGCCCACCTGTCTCATGTCTCCTTCCCCTTGCTCACCTGGGGAAACAGCCCATGTGTCCTGCAGTGTCTGTGGTCGGGGCACAGCACTGCCTGACGGGGATGTCACAGAACATTGGAGGTTGTCTGAGTGACTCTATTGCCCGGCTGGAGACACTCAAGCCCAGAGAGGTGAGGAGCTGGATCTGCTGGAGAGGAAGGGACTTTGTTTTAACCACCGTTGTGTCCCCAGCACCAACACCCATCACACAGTATGTGCTTGGCCGATATCTGTCCAGTAAACAGATTCCCCAGCAAGTCGGGTAGAGCTGGGGCTGGAGGCCCCGGGCTCAGGGTGGACCGGAGGTGTGTGAGGGCAGAGACAAGCCCTGCCTGGTGGGGCGAGGCTGAGGCTGAGCCCCCGCAGAGCTGGTGTGGGCCAAGTGGGCAGGCTGGGGCCCTGGCTGTCACTGGAGCATGATGGGTGGGCGGCCGTGTCTGGGTTGCTGCCCACCTGGGGACAGGAAGACCATTCCTTCTCTAGAGGAACAGACCTGCCTTGAGGTGGGGGGAGGGGGTCACCGAGGTGGACAGCCAGGGAAGGCCTGAAAGGCGCTTGGCAGAGGGGGCAGGAGACAATATCCCCACTGGAGGAGAAGGCTTGGTTGTGGAACCTGACATGGGCACTTGGGGGGACCCCAGGAAGGAGAAGCCCCACTCAGGGGAGCCCTGTAACAGCCATAGAGGCCACATTCCTCCAGGGAGGGTGCTGGCCTTCCAGTCCAGGGAAAAGCCCCTGTCTTCCAACCTTCTGCTGGAAATCTGGCTCATTCTAAACCGAGTCTCCACCCCTCCAGACCCGCTACCCTGCAGACTGCAGGGTCCAGCACTAAAAGGACACCTAGAGCCTTGCACATGCTGCCCGATGATCTGTGACACACGGGCATTTGTGCCCCAGTGGATGCTGCCCTCCCCAGGAGGCTGTGCCCTCCCCATCCCCAGGTTTGCAGGTCTCCACCCTGTATGAGGTGGGCCACCCACCCTCACCCTCATGGGTCCTCTGGCCTCCCACACCTGGGATGGGGCCCAGATCCCCCGGCCCCACCATCCTCAAGGCCTCCTGCTGATGCTCCTGCCCCATCCTTGCAAATGGAAATTAGCCCCCCGGCTCAGTGGTACCCAGGATAGCCAATTACCTCACCCAGGGTCTATGCGCCACCTGGCCTCAGCCGGCCCAGGGCTTAAATTGCAGCACAGAGGCCTTAAGCTAGACAGCAGGAAGAATGTCCTCACTGCGGGGAGGGGGTGTATTGGGATGTGCTGGAGCCAGTGACTAGGGGGGAGCTTTTAAAAATAGAACCTGCAGCTCACGCAGGGCATCGGGGGATGGGCATAATGGCCTCTCAGCTTCCTTCAGCCCCAAATCGCCAAGGCCATGGAGCAAGCTGGACTGGATGCTGGGGCCTCTGGATAAATTCCTCTGGTGGGCCACTGATACCCTGGGCTCCAGCGTCCAGACTTAGTGCTGCTGGCCAGGCAGGCCCCGGGACACTCAGGCTGTGGGATCTCCTGCTGGGGCCTTTAAGACCCTTCTGCACCAGGAACTTCTCCCCCAGGGAGGATGCAGGGCCAGAGCTCTCTGGAGGAGCCCTACTCCTACCTCAGCCATGCCCCGCTTCCCACTGCGGGCCGGCGGATGCTCCAGCATCCTGGCCTGTGCCTTTGCAACAGGGCGGTCGTGGCATATAGCAGTGGGGGATGGGTGAGGGCAGAGCCTGCTCATTCTCCGCAGGGGCCGACACCCCCAGGGACATGCACAGCAGGCAGGCCTGGAATTACCATCACACTTCAGAGCTGGGCAAACTGAGGCTCGAGTTTGCTTGTGAGCTCCTGTGTCCTTGGTAACCCCTAACTCCCACGCCTGCCCCCTCACCCCTCTGGGTGGGGACTAGCAGAAAAGCACTGAGTGGGGCCTGGCCCTGTCAGCTGCAGGCATAGGCTACAGCCTCTCCTGTAAAAAGGCCAGCCACCTGCAGGCTGGGTGGTGGCTCCCATACCCACCCCACCTGCTCACCGGCCCCACAGAATCAACCTTGGGGCAGCTGCAGCCCCTCCAGGCCTGCCTTCAGTGTGTCTCCCTCTGTGGGTCCTCAGAGAAGTGGGCTCAGGAGGGAGACCGGGAGGGTGGAGGGGAAATGCCTTTATTTATCCTGGACAGGTGCGGCAGGGCCTGCAATATGAGCTGCCCTCTCACCCCCACCCTGCCCCAACCCCAGCCCGTCCTCCAGGAAGTGGGGGAGGGGCTCCAAAGGCCAGCTCCCACGCCTGTTGGAGGGGCTAGGCCAGGGGCTGGGGCCACCGTCTGGGCCTTGCCCCCTGGTGCAGGTCTCGACCCTCTTTACTGAAGACGGATGTGCTTCTGTTCAACTCAGCTGCTCACAGCTGTGTCACCTTAGAAAAGTCAGTTCGCCTGTTCAGCCTCGGTTTTCTCATCTGTACACTGGGGACAGGGCCTTCCCGACAGCACATGTGCGAGAGAGCTTTCTCACGCACACTTAGGAGATATTGACACCTGTTCTTCCGCAGAGGCTGGTTGTGAGGATGGGGGAGCTGTGGGGCTGGGCCTGGACCCAGAGGGGGCCTGTGTCTCTGTCCCAAAGTCTCTACCCCTTAGGGCCTCACCCACCAGTGCAGAGGCCTCTGCCCCTGTGCTGTTTGTGGTTCCAGAGTTTATCGGACTCTCCTAGCCACCGGGGGGATGCAGAGGACAGAGGGTCCCTGGGGAGGAGGAGGGGGACAGCCCGCGGCTATTCTGGGGTGACTGTGCTGGAGATTCCTGGAATTTCGAGGCCATCGTGCTGTTTCTAGGGCAGCGCCTCGCAGTGCTGACAGGCCACGCTGTTTATAGCCACGCTGAAGGTCAGGCCAGCCTCCGGAGGGCCCCCCCGAACCAACAAATGGGGAGGATAACAGGACAGAGGCACACCGACAGGAAGGCGTTCTTAGAGGTCCCTGGCCAGGCCCTTTCTCAGCACGCGTCTCCTCCATGGGGCTCAGAGCTGTACCTGATCCTGAGGGCCCTCAAGGGAGTGGGCATGAGGCTGGCTGGGTCCTGGGGCATGGACTCTCCAAGGCGCTGGGCCAGGACACAGGACAAGGGCAACCTCATGGCCAGCCCAGGACTCCTGGAGCTGCAGGCGCTGTGGGCCAACAGCAAGTGGGAGCAGAGCAGGGCTCCCTGAGTGACATCTGCTGGGCCGTGCTGGGGCAGCCCCTCAGGCAGGGAGATGTCTCCCCAGTTCCCTGTGTCTCCGTCCCTCGCCACGTGGTCCCCTCACATCTAGGGGCTGTCCGTGATTGCAAAGGCCCCCACCCCAGGCCCTCCTATTCCCAAACACAGCTTCTCCACACCTTCGGAGCCAGATTCCGCCTCTGCTCAAGAACCATCCTAAGAGGCAGAAAGCTGACTTTGCCATGTCCCAGTGCTCTCTGGGGCCCAGAGAGAGTGACGTGCCCATGGGAGCATTCTACTGGTGACATCCAGGACACAGACAGAAATGTGGGCCTGCACAAGAGGAGAAGAGAGAGACTCGGAAGGCCAGGGAAGGGTCTGGTCAGCTAGCGAGGGGACCAGTGACCCGTGGCTTTGGGCTTAGAGAGGTCACTGGTATGTGTGGAGTGCTGGTGAGCAAAGCCAGACAGCTGGGGTGTAGGAGGGGTGGGAGAGAGCAGGGGCAGGACCTGCTGGTCACTTCTTGGAGAAGCCTGGAGGGGAAGAAAGGGAGAGAAACATGACAGGAGCCGGTTGGAGCAGCTAAGACAAGGAGAGGGAGAGGCTTTTTTTTTAAAGACAATTTTTTTTAGAGCAGTTTTAGGTTCCCAGCAAAATTGAGTGGAAGGTACAGATTTCTAGAATGCCTCCTGCCCTTATGCGTCCGCAGCCTCCTTCACTACCATCATCCCCCACCAGGGTGGTACTTTGTTTCCACTGATGAACCTACACTGACACTTTATTACCACCCGGAGTCCATAGTTTATGTTAGAGTTCAGTCTTGATGTTGCATATTCTATGGCTTGGACCAACGTGTAATGACATGTGTCCACCGTTACTGTATCATACGGAGTATTTTTACTGCCCTAAAAACCCTCTGTACAAAGAGACGCTTTTGGAGCATAGACAAGACTCTGGATTGTTTATCGGCCGGGATGGGGTTGGGGAGTGGAGCCGTGGGGAGACAGAAGATTCCAGTGAGAGGCTGAGGGTTGGAGCAAGGCCCCAGGGGAGGCCAGATGGGACAGGAGTGGAGCAGGGCATGATGGTAATTTAATCCCACAATGTTAAATGCACTTAGGGCTCCACAGGAAATCCCCTGGGGTGGTCAGCCTGGGAGGGTTGGAAGGAGATGCTGGAAGTTGCACAGTCCATAGCATCTGCTACCTGCCATTGCCCCCATCCCCCGCCACACCTACCCTGGCAGATCTAGAAGGGAAGGAAGGTGGGGCCCGTCTGGTTTTTGAGCACAGGGAGTGATGGCTGGGAGCTTCTGTGGAGCCCGGCAGCCCCTTTGCTGCCGGGGAGCTGGGGAAATAGGAGCTGAGGGCATGGGTGAGTCCTGGCCGGCGCCTTGCTGCCCTGGGACCCTGGACAGAAGTCCTCTCCCCTCCAGCTGACGCTCTAGGGACAGACAGCAGGCTGGCTCAGGACTGGTCAGTTGGGGCTGGCCCCTGTCACCCACTCTCTGCCAGCTCTGGATCTTATTTCTGGTGGAGCCGGAGGATGTACCTCCTAGCCTTGGCCTCTCTGGCACCTCCGGGGGGAGGGGCTGGGGCAGGCCCTGTGCCTCCTCAGTTGGGAGCTTCCCTGAAACTTTCTGAGCTCTGCACCCTCCTCATGAGACACCCTATTTAATAACGGGATCCTCACAGCAATCCCGGGAGAAGGGCACTGGTGCTGTCTTTACACGGAGGTCATGCAGCCGGGCCCTGTAACCTCGGGTCTGGCTCAGACCAGAGTCTGTGCTCTTTGCTGTGCTTCCTCCCCCCCCACCCCGCCCCCAGACACCCACACGTCACTGGAGCCACAGCTGCTCCTGGGCGCCAGCTATTCCTGTGCCCTCTCTGGGGTGCCCTAAATCACGGCCCAGCAAGAAGGAAGGACTCCTGGGGGCTGGGCGGCCATCTTGGTGCCAAACACCCAGAGCCCGTCCTAGGGAGCTTCTGAAACAGGCCTTCAGTCCTCGAGCTCTGCCCACGGGTGGGGTCCCAGTGGCGGGGGCTGGTAACTGCAGAAGCCTGAAAAGTGAAGTGGGAATGAAACGAAACGATCATTACCAATGCTCAAAAGGGCATAGAAAGACTTTAAGGGAAAAAAAAAATCCTCCAAGGATCTGGCCACTTTGCGTCCTTTCTGGGACAAGGAAGGGGGGCCTGTAGAGAGCCAGACAAGAGCGACATGGGTATAGCATGCCTGGATTCCCTCTTCATCAGCTGGGCTCTGGACCAGGGGATTCAAGGGGGGCCCCATCCCTCTGTTGGGCAGGCTGGAGGGAGCGGATCTGACAGCCCTCAGGCCAGGCGGGGGTGACCTCCTTAGGGTCCCTTCTCTAAGGAGACCTGGGCAGAAGCAGAAGAGCACCCCTCTTCAAGAGGATTACAGCCTGAGAGGGCATGGGCCTGGCTCAGGGCAGCCAAAGGCCAGGCCAGCTGAGCGCTGACGGGCAGACACAGGTGCAGGAGCGGAGGCGCCAGGCGCAGGCGGGAGCCAGCTCGGCGGCTCCCCAGGAAGTTTGGATACTGACCCGGCCCAGGGCAGGCTGAGCTCTTCCCCAGGAACAAGGATCACCCCAGTCCATACCTGAGGATGAGGGAGTGCCAGGCCAGGGGAAAGCAGGAGAGCCAGCGGGGAGGACTGGGGTCAGCTCGCCCATGCCTAAGGGAGAAAGACATCCCCAGGGCAGCTCCTCAGGGAGGACGTTCCAGAGGCCCCAGGGCCCTGCGGCTTGCCCTGGCTGATCTGGCCCAGCCTGTCTTGGATGTCATTCTGGTGTCCTTGCTCATACTGTCATCCATGATCTGGACACAACTCTGGTCCTGCCTGGCGGGCGTCACCTCTGCAGGCAATAGGCCCACCCTTCCACCTGTGTCAGCCCTGCCTGGGAGCTCCCTCTGCAGGGGAGTGCCTTTCCTCTCTGGGTGGTGGAGAAGTGTCTTGGGGAGCCCTGGTGTGGGGCACCCTGGTATATGGCAGCTCAGGTGTGGGGCACCTTGGTGTGGAGGCACCTAGGTGTGGGGGCACCCAGGTGTGGGTGACCCCTGGTATGGGGCACCCAGGTGTGGGGGAGGCCAGGTATGGGGTGCCCAGGTGTGAGGGCACCCAGTTGTGGGGGCACCCTGGCATGGGTGAGACCTGGTGTGGGTGAGCCCTGGTGTGGGGGTGCCCTGGTGTGGGCGAGCCCTAGTGTGGGGGAGCCCAGGTGCAGGGGTGCCCTGGTGTGGGGGTGCCCTGGTGTGGGGTGCTCTGGCGTGGGCAAGCCCTGGTGTGAGGAGCCCTGTGGGCAGTTCGCTAGGACAGCAGAGGCATTGCACACGTCCTCCTGAATGGAAGCACACCGGTCTGTCACTTTCTCTGAAATGCTTCAAAAATAAGATGGGTCAACGGCTGGAGAGAAGGATAGATGTGTGTTACGGCAAGCTGAGTGACACGCTGCCGTGGAGCCTCTGCAGTGGGTGTTTGAGTGTTCGCTGTGGAATTCTTTCTTGTTCTGTGTCTGAGGATGTCTGTACTAAATGTTGGGGATAGCATAGGCCCGAACGGGAGGCCAGAGGGGTAGTGAAACGCGATTTTCTGTGGGACAGGCCTGCCGGCCAGCTCGGCTTGCCTTCGGGGGTCCCCTCTCAGGTTAGAAAGAGTTTTGTTTTTCTTGGTTGTTGTTTTTCATCCTTTGCTCAACTCCTTAAATCAAAGGAAGCAACACACTCCCGCCCTTAGCAGCGGCTCCCTACAGCCATGAATGCAGGGGTCAGGGCAATGTGTATTTTGAGAAGACCTGGGTAGTTCCAAGATGCCCCTACGGGCAGACGACGTGGCTTCCTGGCAATCCAAGGGTTTGCTTCTCTGCTGTTCCTGCCTCGTCTCAGCAGACTTAGGGACCAGGGGAGGCTGCTGTGGGCACAAGGTGGCCAGTGTTTAAGAAGTCCCTGGGGCTGAAATGACGGGTCAGTGGTGACTGGCGAGGGCTCCCCTGGTCTTGCTGTTATTCTCAGTTAGCACGTGCGGTTCCTGGCCCTCCTCTTGGAATGGGCTGCAGCCTGGTCACTGCACGGGCCCTGGTTTGGATGGGAGAGCCCTGCAAGGGGCCTAGCAGGAGGTTTCCATCCCTGTCTGGAAGCCCAGGGCCTGGCCAGAGGCCCACCCAGGCCTGGCATCCAGGGTATGGGACTGTCCCCAGGTCCTCTCCGGGCTCCTTCTAGGATGGTCCCTGGGCCTTGGCTAGAAAATGGCTTCTTCCAGAGTTAGGAGCGGACCTTGTCTCTGGGGTATAGCCAGGAAGGTGACTGGGATGTGCCCAGAGAAGCCAGGAGGACTGGCTGGTGGACACGTTGAGAAGGAAAAGCCAAGAGCCCCCCTCCAGTCACAGCTTCGTGGGGGTGGCTCCCAGAGGCTCCTTCTTCCTGTGACATCACTGGGCGAGGCCTGCATGGCACTCTATGTGATGTCACGGGGGGATTCCACACAATGTCACGGGGGCCAGGTCATCAAGTCATTCTGTGTGATGTCAGCAGGAGGTGGGGGTTGCATGATATTCCATGTGATGTCACAGGGGGGTGGGGCCAGAGTCTCCATGACATTCCATGAGACATCTTTAAGGGTGGGGCTTTGTCACATTCCAGGTAACGTCACTAGGGGCCAGCCATCAAGCTATTTTAGGTGATGTCATTAGGCCCTCCAGAATTTTGCATTTCATGTGATGTCACTGCAGGGGGGCCCACCATGGCACTCAGTGTGCTATTACTGGGGGCTGGGGGTGCAGAATTTGGCACTGTGCATCACGTCATCGGGAGTGGAGTCTGAGCTATCATGACATCCCAAGTAATGTCCCTGGGAGTGTGGCTTTCCTGACATTGCATGGGCTACTCCCGGCATGGAGGATCCATGGCGTTCCGTGTGATCTCACTGGCACTGGGGCCCCCAGATTCTAACATTCTGTGATGTGATTAGGGTGCAGGGTTTGGGAACCTGCCCCAGGAAAATCTGGAAGTATGAAGCCAAATACAGAGCACTGAGCTCGGCCCTATGTCACAGCCGACCTTGCTCCCCCAGCCCTCTGCACCCCTCCCTTGTAGCACTGGGCGCTTCGCCCAGGATGCTTTGTGAGGGTGCTTCTGTCCTGCCTGCTGGCCTGGCAGTGTGTCTGTGGTGGTGCTGTCTTAGCTCCTGCATATCCCCTCCCTCCCGGAGCCTCCTGCTCCATGGGTTTTTGGGGTGCAGGTGTTACAGCAAGCTAACTGGTGTAAGAGCCCCCAACTTAAGCACGTGACTTAAGCACGACGAAAGTTTATTTCTCACTCATGCAACATCCAATGTAGTGCTCCTTAATCATCTCTCCTCCAAGCAGGGACTCCAGGATCCAGGTCCCTTCCAGTTAGCGGCTTGGGTATCCTCCTTGGCTATCCAAGGCTGCATCCAGTGAGCCGATGAACAGAGAGAGTGCAGGATAGCAAGGATGGTTGGAGGGGCAGGCCTGGAAGTGGCATGCACTGCCTTCACCCACATTCCACCAGCCAGAGCTAGTCCTATAGCCACACTCAGGTACAAAGCACTAGGAAGCGTGGTGGCTGTGTGCCGGCAAGAGGAACCAGGCTTGGCGAGCAGCAGGCACTGGCCATGGGGAATGAGAGACAAAGGCAGGCCTCTCCTGGATGATCCAGGCGACTTCCCTGAGGACTGCTCCATTCTCAGGCCCACCCTCCTCGTGCTCACCCCCTCATCTGCCATCCTCTCAGATCACGCCGGGCAGCAAGGCCGCCCAGTCCCAGCTCAGCCAGGGTGACCTTGTGGTGGCCATTGACGGCGTCAACACAGACACCATGACCCACCTGGAGGCCCAGAACAAGATCAAGTCTGCCAGCTACAACCTGAGCCTCACGCTGCAGAAGTAGGTGGGAGCTCTCCAGAGCAGGGGGGCGGCGGGCGTGTGGGCCTCAGGGGTCTGAGAGAGGGACCGGCCATCCAGCAGCAGTCACATGGGCCCAGCCCTGCACTACCAGACCTGGCAGGGCAGTGAGGACAGCCTGGACCAGAGGAAGGACCAGGCCTGAGTTGTTGTCAAGCACCTGCCACATCCGTGCCTCACTTCCCAGAGGAGACTTAGAGAGGGTAGTGGGTGGTCACGGGGCTGCCAGGGTGTGGGCAGCTGGGCCTGGAAGCCAGGGTCTTCCTGCTTCCTCTTTACCCAGGCAGCCTCCCAAGGACCTAGCAGAGGCCCATGGCTGCAAAGTGCTTGGGGGCCATGATTTCTCCATCCTGGACAGGCCCAGTGCCTTCCTGGGGACACTGATGCCATGGAGTGGACAGTGGGCCTCGGGCCCTCTGACCTGCTCCCCAGCACTCATTGCTCTCCCCTCGCCTCCCCGCCCAGGCAGGAGCTCCCAGCCCCAGGGGCAACTGTCTTCACTCGGTCCCACTTCTGGTTTCTCCAGGTCGAAGCGGCCTATTCCCATCTCCACGACAGCACCTCCGATCCAGTCCCCTCTGCCGGTGATCCCACACCAGAAGGTAGGTGCCACTGTCGGTGGCAGGCTCCACTCTCTGGGTGGTTCCTGGGGTGCGGTCCCCATCTGCCTGCCTGATCCTTGGCTGGCCCAACTGGGGTGAGGTGGCGGGGTCAGCCCTGCCCCAGCCCTGCCTCTGCTGCGGCTGACCCCGGGTAGGTGGGACAGGCCCTCGGGCAAGGGCGTCCAAGCCCCCATGAAGTGTTGAGCGTGGAGAACCCTGCCTGTGTGCTGGGCTGACGGGATACTGGCTTAGGCAGCTGTGTTCTTAGGAGGGGGCCGTCCTCTCAGCCAGGGGGGACAAGTGTCCCAAGGGCTCTGACCCTCATCCTCCTGAGGCACGGGGAGGGGAGTGACTGTGGCCTGAAAGTTGGAGGCCCCAGCTTGAGCCAGTCACCCCAGGAGGACTCCCAGGCATGGAGGGGCCTGCTGGCCCTCCAGGTTCCTCCTCGGACATAGCATCTCTCCCTCTGGTTCCCATTTCACCTGCCATTTGCCCACCCCTGTAGCCCAAGCAGAAGTGCTGGTAGTGGCCGAGAGGCCGGCCCAGGGGGAAGGTGGAGCCCCGGCCCCTTCCCAGCTCCCTCCGGGCAGCTCATCCCCATATGCCCAAGGCATGCAAGGCCCACCCACCACTCCTGCAGGGGCCCACTCCCCACCTCTCCCTCATGACCTCATACTGACCCTGGTCTTTCCAGAGGGGCAGAGTGGGTGATGGGCAGGGTGGGGAGAGGGGAGAGGAAGAGGTTGACAGGGGATGGGGCTAGTGACAGATTGGGGAAGGGGGCAGAGGGCTGCTTGGGAGAAGCTGCAGAGAAAGGCTGAGGGAACCAAATGTCAGCCCCCTACTTCCTCAGTTTCCCCTCCCGCACCTCCATTCTGCTTGTCCACTGCCAGCCGGGGGGGGAGGGTCCCCCTCACTGACCATGTGGGGGCATTTTAGTGTGGGGTTAGTAGAGCAAGAGGCTGGGCCATGCCCACCAGGTGCCCTTGCTCAGGGGAAGGGGGGACAGATGTAGGACAGAGGCGGCTCCCCCACACCCTGAGACCCACAGCGCCCCCCTTCTCCAGCCCTGCAGGCAGGCTGGCTTGGCTTGGCTTTCTGTGTGGGGCTGTGCATTTGTCCAAGCAGAGGCCAGCTGCGGGGCTGGAGCCGTGTGCCCACCCCGCTCTTCCTAATGAGGCCCTTCTGTTCCAGGGGCTGAACAGTGGGCCACGGGGTGGCGGGCCGCAGGGTGCCGCACTGACCCCTCTGTCTCAGGTCCATGCAGAAGCGCTGGGATGCACGTGGCCTCTAACCGCTCTCTTCTCTCTCCCCGCATGGCGGCCACCCTGGGCCAGGACCCTGCTCTGGACACGAACGGCACCCCGGGCACCCCGGAGCTCAGGCCGACCGTTAGCTCCTCCTGCTCCCAGCCCTCCGTCTTCTCCCCACACACGGGGGTCTCTGCGCTCGGCCCTCCACGGGGCAGCCCGGGGGCCACGCCCGGCCTGGAGGGGGCCCTGGACTCGCTCAGCCCGACAGCAGCGAGGGGCTCGAGCCGGCCCAGGCAGTACAACAACCCCATTGGGCTGTACTCCGCACAGACCCTGAGGGAGATGGCTCAGACATATCAGCTGAGCCTCCGAGGGAAGGCCTCGGGTGCTGCGCTCCCAGGAGGGTAGGTAACGGGCCCGCAGCTTCCACTCGTGTGCTGGGGCCACCTGGGTCCTCAGTGCTCAGGAGAGGCCTGGCCAGGTGATCAGAGCGAGAAGCTGGCCTCCATCTGGCCGGCCCCAAGCCCAGGAGGCAGGGCAGGAGAAGGGCAATGAACGCAATGACCCTATTGACATTTGCCATGAAGCAGGTGCATCATTGCTTTATACCACCCTGGGTGACGTGTCGGATTTTGCAGAAGGGGAAACTGAGGCTCAGAGAAGGTTTGGTTGACGTCTAGCTGTCCAGCTACTAAGTGCTGAGCAAGGCCTGAATGCAAGAGACTCTGACCCACAAAACTATTAAACCAGGCCACCCTCCAGGTCAGGACAAAGCCTGCTGTCTCCAGGAGCTCTAGGGCAGGGGACAAGCTGGTCCCTATACCTCTGGGAGCCATGAGGCAGAAGCAAGGAAGAATTAGATAGGTGGGAGAGCAAGTTGTCTAGGGCTGGGAGTGGTCTGGGAAGGCTGCCTGGAGGAGGAAGCACTGAGCTGGATGAAGAGAGACTCAGCAATGATGTGAGGGAGGTGGACTTGCAGGACTGACCCTGGCTAGGGTGGGGCAGCAAGGAAGCAGGACCCCGAGGAGAAAGGGACTGTGCAGGGGAACAGCAGCCCACCCCTCATCCCCCCCAATCTAGCTGGTGGGACTCTGCGAGAAGAGGAGTTAAAACAACCTGGAACTGGGGTGGGCACCATGGCGGGGCTGAGGGGAGGGAGCCCCCAAGTAGGGCACGTATTAGCTTCCAAGTCGTTCACACTTATCGCACTGTAACTCCTACCATGCACCATGCAGTCAATATATTATCTGTGTGCTCCATCAGAGTAGGCTGAGTCAAGGCAACATGGCCCCATGGTTAGGGGTTCAGGGCTCCTCCTCTGCACATGGACACAGACAGTCCATGTCTCAGGACTACTGGGCCGACTGAATGAGACAACACGTGCACAGTGCTGAGCTCTGTTCTGGCGCACTCGCTGCACGCTCCTGTCAGCGTTGCCCGAGTCTCACAGCTGGTACACCAAGGGGTCAGACTGACCCCGCCCATGCCCTTCCTCTGCTCTTGCCACGGGAGGTACCGGGCGCCAGCTGACTGCTCCCCTGGGGATCTCCGGCTTCCTCAGATCCCCCAGCTGATTCTGGGTCTTGAGCGAAGCTGGCCTTGGGCCCTCCACGGTCTGAGCCCCAGCGCCCTGGCTTCTCTGGACCATGGGGGCCGAGCCAGATAGCCCCGGGCTCTTTCCAGCAAGGAGCTTCTGCCAGAAAACTCAGGGAGGGGCAGAGTAGAAATGGCCTCCTTCTCCTGCCTCGGATGGGCTGGTAGCTCTTCCTGGGCCTCTTGGAACTGGCCCCTGGCAGGAAGGTCACCCCCTGGTGGACTGGGACCTCCCCGAGGCCCACTTGCTGTGGTGGTACCATCTCCCTTAACGGAGCCCTCAGTCTAGGGTGGCTAACAGTTCATAAGTGTTATCTAACACAACTCTCTCAGCAACTTCCGAGGTGGGCATCATTTCCCCCGTTTTACAGCTGGAAATAGAAGCCCAGAGAGAGTGAATAATTTTCCCAAAGTCACACAGCTAACCAGTGGCAGACAGGAATACACCCGGGGCGGCCTGACTCCTCCCTGGATGGAGATAGGGACCTACATACCTGACCGGGGAAGACAGGGGCCAGCCCCACGCCGGCCTCCCACGACTTCCGTGGTGCCCTCCGCTGGCATAGGGACTTCTCACAACCTGACAAGTGTTGAATTATTCTCTGGCACTCAGAGCAGCGGGTCCAGCAGTTTCCTCTGGGCGATGGGCTAGGGAGGGAGCGTGCTGGTTGCTTCATCCACAGTGGAGGCTGATGCTGCGGTCCCCCTCCAGGCCAGCAAGGGGCAGCCTCTGATGTGCTGAGGCCACCACCTTCGCTAAGTGTCTAGCTGCTCCCAGGGAACAGAGTTGGCCACTGCTAATCCCTGTGCCTTTCTGTTGCACACGGAACCCATGTCTAGGGGATTCTGTTCAGTTTGCACACCCCATCTGTGCAGTGGGCAATGCCGTCTTGATTTTATGAGTGAGGAGATGGAGGGTGAGACAGTGGCAGTGCTAGGAAGAAAGGGTCAGGATTTGAACTCTGTCCTGTCTGGCTCCAAAAGGCAGCTCCTTCTGCTGCTCACTCTCTGGGCAGCCTGTATTCTCGCTGGAGGAATGGAGAGGAGCAGGGGGGTGTAGGACCAGCCAGGCCTGAGCATCCTCGTAGCTCTCTTCTCCTCATCCTCTCTGGGGCCGGCACTGAAGGGCCGTATCCCTCAGGTCACTAGGGGCAAGGGCCCCTGGGCAGGGCATACATCTTTGGGTCATCCTCCCCAAGACCGGGGCGCTCTCTGAGCTGTGTCTGCTGCAGGCATCTCAGCCTCCAGGTCCTCAGGTGGAAGCGAAGCAGAGGGCAGGAATCAATGACAAAGAAGGAGCCAGCTTCCCCGGGCAGGGAAGGCCAGAGGCCAACACTGCCCTCTGCGGGGGGCACAGCTGGTCAGGGCAAAGCTGACTCCGCAGCTGTCAGCGCTGGCCAAAAATGGAGAAGGAACGGAAGATCCGTGCTGGCCCTTTCCTAATATAGCTCCACTTGCAGCTATTTTGAGCTGGGAGGACAGACGGAATTTTATCAGCTCTGAGACGGGGGCCTGGGGCTGAGCAGAGGCTGCCTGGGGCTGGGGGCCCCCCGGCTTTGGCTTGGCTCCCCAGGGTCCTGGCCAAGGGATGACCAGATTCCCCCAGCCAGAGCCCACCGTGGTCAGATCTGGGAAAGTGGCAGAATGGGGGGCAGGAATGCCACCTTCTGCATCCTTTCTCCTCCCATAGGTGCTGCTGGGGTCTGCCCCTGCAAGGAATTTGCATTTAAAGAAACCTAAGGCAGGCAGTCCCTCCCCCAAGGAAATGATGCTCCAGGAGGCTCACTCTCAGATAAGAATGAGGGGTGGGGTCCTTCTTGTAGTGTCCAAGCTGAGCTGCCTTGGCTGGGGGCTTTCCTGCTATAAGCCTTGGCCCCACAGTTCCCCCAAGCCTCCCCACTCCTCCATCCTGCCTCATTGCCCCTCCACACGGCCTTTAAGGGCAGTCACTGGGGACTACACAGACCCCCTACCCCTGTGCCCCAGGAGGAGTGACCAGGGCTGCCTGCCCCTCCTCTGGGAGGGAGAGCAGATCCCAGGGGCTGTAGGGAACCCCGCTGCACACACCTCCCCGAACGACTGCAATTCCCGCTTAATGAGCAGACCCCCCGGAACTGCCCCCCATTAAACAAGGATTAGTCCAGAGCTGCTGTCGGGCCAGGAGGCACTTGCCTTCTCGTAGCAGGCACAGCTGGTCCGGTCTCCATCTCCAACTTCCTTTCCTGGGGTCTACAGCCAGGTTGTATGTGGGGGATTCATGTACATGGTACATAAGTGCCCATGAAGATGATGGACAAGAAAATCCTTCTTCCTGGCAAAGCTATGGGTTCTGTGGACCTGCCAAGGGGGAAACGCTGCTGTTGGCATCTCTGACCCAAACCGGGCGGCCATGATCGGACTCTGAGCTCTTCCGCTCCTCCCTCCACACTTTCCTCACCCGGAGCCAGTCCAGGTGCTCTGCTGCCACAAGGGCCAGTCTGAGGATGGTGCCGACGCTCACACCTCCCTGAAGGAGCCGCGTTCTGACAGCCCTGTCTTCTTTGCTCTTTCTCTCCTCCCTAGGTGGTAGCCAACTCTCCAGCCAAGTTAGTATGATGGGAAGCATGGGTGTGTCCTCGTGTGCATAGCCCAGCATGCGTCTGTGTGTCCAGCGGTCCGGGCAGCGTGCGCCTGTGTCAGCACATGTATATGTGTGTGCATTGTGAGTGGGGGTGCATTTGTGTCCCCGAGTGAGCCTGCATGTGTGTGAAGCTGCGAGGATGGAGTGGAGGCACTGGGGAGGGGTCCTGGGGCTCTGTCTGATGCCGCCCCGCTCCGCTGTTCTGTTCCCAACATCCTGCTGCAGCCGCTTAAGACTGGGCAGGCTGGCTCTGGCGGGCGGTGGGGAGACTGCCTGCTGACGCTGGGTTCTGTGTGAGCCTGAAGATGTTTCTGTCCTGGCGGCGGTGGGACCCCTCAGAAGGGCTGCGCCTGACCTTGTCTTTGCCCGGGGGAGCGCCCACCTGTTGAAGAGAAAAGCCCTGATGGGGAGAGAATGGCGGCCACACAACACGTTGGACTCGAGGGGGCCAGAGCAGCCTGAACCCTGCTCCAAGGAGGACGCAGCACATGCACTGAAGCATCTGGAGGAGGAGAGGCCGGGGCCACTAACGGGGTGGCCTGCAGGATGAGCCCCTGCGTGGAGGAAGCAAGCTCAGAATCCCCGTGGGTGCCCAGTGGGGTTGCTTGTGGCCTGTGGGGCCTTCTCGACTCAGCTTGGGCTGCTGCTGCCTCTCACGCTGGTCCAGCTCCTGTGCCCTCCCCTGTTCCGCCCCCCAACCGGTTTTGTCTCTCCTTCCCGCGGTGTGCTGAGAGAGCTGTCAATGCCTGGCGCCCCCTGCCGACCCTACGAGGTGGTTCAGCTGAACGGGGCCTCCAGGGATGGGGAAAGCCGAGATGGGGCAGAAAAACCTCTGCACGTGGCTCGGCTCAGGGAGGGTGCCAAGAATTTTCCAGACCAGACCTGGCCATCCGCAGTCGGGGGCCTGGGGGGCCTGCCTGGGAATCAGGCTTTGGGAGATCTCTCTCGACACCCTCCACCGCCAGCCCTCCCTTGACTCCCCTGTAACACCGCCTGTTGCCCTTTTCTCCTTTCCCCTCCCCTGCCCCCTCCCCCAGCGCCGACTACCAGGAGCGCTTCAACCCCAGCGCCCTCAAGGACTCGGCCCTGTCCACCCACAAGCCCATCGAGGTGAAGGGGCTGGGCGGCAAGGCCACCATCATCCACGCGCAGTACAACACGCCCATCAGCATGTATTCCCAGGATGCCATCATGGACGCCATCGCCGGGCAGGCGCAGGCCCAGGGCAGTGACTTCAGCGGGTAAGCGCCTCCCCTCTGCCGCCGTGGCTCCTCGCTCACCGCCTCCGCCACCGGCCCCGCCTCGTCACGCGCGGGCGAGGCCACCAGGCCACTGGGCGCCATCGGAGACTTTAGCCACGGGGACCAGCTTTCCTCCCTGGCCTTGGGCCTCCCAGGGCACAGCGCTTGGAGGGGAGCCAGCCTTTGCCCGGGCCTTCCAGAACATGGTGTTCTCTCTTCAGAATCAATGTCACGGTCAGCTTTAGGAGAAGGGTGGAGAAATGCAGAATATGCTGGTTCCTTCAAGTGCTTTTCCCAGCCTCCTCATTTCCCCAGGCTCCATGATGGGGCTGGTTTAGAAGGAGACTTCTGGAATCCTGTTAACCAGGGTCACATTCTGGATACCCCCGTCTTCTCACAACTAAGCTCTTCTTGGGGGGGCGGGGGGGGGGTAGTTGCTGCATTCTTCCAATGAGGAGAGCAATTCAGATACGTCACTGGGTTTCTCGTTTGGGAAGGGGCCTCCAGACCAACCTTCTTCCATGGTGCTGTTGGCTGTCAGCCCCACTACAGAGCTGGGGGAGCACCCGGGACTGGGCCCCCGCCTCCTCCCTTTGCCCCAGGGAAGCCTGGCCTCAGGGTGCTGGGACTGAGGACAGCCTTGGTTCCTGGAATTTGCCTGTTAGCGATGGTTGAGGAACTTGAGAGTTGAGTAGGGAAAGAGTTGGCCGAAAATCATTGTGCGTGAAATTACTAATGGTACAAACACTAGTGGGGACCTCTCTCCCTCTCTCAGCATCTCTCTGTAATTCTCTCTTTCTATGTGTGCCTCTCTCTGTCACTCTCTTTCTCTCTGTCTCCTTCTCTGTCTCTTTCTGTCTTTCTGTCTCTGTCTCTCTTTCTGGTCTCTTTCTTCCTTTCACACGCACACTCTGACACTGACATACACACTCACAGAGACACACACACACACTCACAGTCTCTTACTGTTTTCTACTCGGGAATACCATTAGTGTTGAATTAGAGAACTAACTGATGATCTCTTTGGGCAACATCTTATCCCTGAGTCAGGATCCCCAGCAACTCAAGGCAAGAAATCTTAAAATGGTGGTTGGACTTGGAGCTATGAAAAACAGATGTTGTAAGAGGGATAGAGGGGTTAGTCCTAGAGAACCCCTATCGTGTGTGGCCTTTCCAGAGCCCAGCCATTGTAGCTGTGACATGAGGGCAGGTTATACAGGGCAGGCTCCAGAAGCCAAAGGATGCAAGGTTGTGTAGACTTGTGGCTCTCCTAGGGAGCGGGACCCTCTCAGGCACGCAGTACTGCCTCTGGGCCACCAGGGGGCGGAGGCTGCTTGCCCTGGAGCCCTGAGTTTCAAACTGGCGAGACTCAGGGCAGCAGCTCCTTGCAGAATTTTAGGCTGGTGTTGATTTATTTAATGCCACCGTTCAAAGCAGAAAATATCACCACGCAAGTTTAAAAACACCACCATTAGCTCATGTGTACCCAGAAAAACAAGGCTGCCTGACTAAGCCAAAGAGCTAACCGGGATTTCCTGTTAACATTTGTGTGCCACGTGTGTCCTTGGTGCGCTCTTAGAAGTGGTAACAGTCGCCAAAGGAAAGTTCATAGAAGATAATGGAAGAACTCCTCTTCACTAACTTTGTATTTTCTGCATCTTGGGAAAAGACTGCTCTTATTTGGTGTTATCACTGGGGCGCTCATGATTTTTTTTTTAACATGATGCACCATGAATCTAATCTAGGCTTCTCGAAGGACCCTCCCCATCTCCCTCCTGTCCCCTCCCCTGCCTTTGCCTTCCCTTGCGTGCCTGGGAAGCAGCGTCCTTTCCCCCTCCCTTCTAACTCAGTCCTGCTGGGCTGATGCTGCCGTGGTGCCCTGGTAAGAGCTTCCCCTCTCTGCCATACGGTGCTCCGTTTCTGCTGTTAATTTCCATGATTCCTTCCTCACTGACAGATTTCTTTTTGTCTCTCTCTCTCTTCCTTCTTTATGCGCCCCACTCTCATAACTCATTTCTGATCCTAACCCTGCTCCCTTGTGTGTGCGCCGCCCCTCTGCCATCCCTTGATGGACACGCACTCACTGCTGGGCTTTCCTCTGCTTGGCAGGGCATCGCCGCTGGCGTAAGTAGACCCCACAGTGTCTGTTCCGTCGTCCGTCTGTCTGGTTTCGGGATGGTGTATGGGTTTGGTGGGATGTGTCTGAGGACGGTGGCTCTGTCCACGTTCTTCCTCACACCCGCCTCACAGCCAAATGACATGCCCTGCAGCCTGTACAGGCAAGTACTTGTCTTTTGAGGTTTGCCCCAGATCATGTCACTATGGACACAGAATGAGAGTCCCAGCACCCACGCTGCCCCCCAAGGCCGAGGGTGTCTGTTCTCCTTGCCATGTTTTGTGGGGGCTCCCCCGGCTGTTCCTGTCTGCACACTGGGACAGCATAGACCTGATGTCAGAATCCACACTGGGCCATTATTCAGGGGAGAGGGTGATAAGGGGGCCTCTTGGAGGCCCCTCCCCAGAATCCTCATGGAAGATGGATCTGGAGGAGCCAGCACTTGCCGGGACCACCCATGGGAGGCGAGAGCTGAGTCAGATTTGGGGGCAGTGCACATTGGAGGAAATGCCCAGAGGTGACCTTGATGTTGTAGTGACAGTGGAGTGTCTTTGGTGGCAAGAAAACTCTGCAGGCAGCAGCACCTGAGAGCAGCCTCAGGCCTGGTGGGCCGCAGGGCCTGTTCCATCCTCTCTCTCTAGGCGTTCTCCCTGAGCCCCAGAGACTCAAAAGGCACAGCAGTTCCTTTATCTGACTCCCAGTCCCTGTCACGGCAGCAACACCAGCCCCTGGTCTTTGCACAGTATAGTGGGAAATGGAGCCAACAGTGGGAATCCCAAGGGACTCCATCCGGCAGCTTTCTTGAACCCTTGGAACAGTGGAAGGAACAGAGGAGCACCTCAAGGGCCCGTGCCAGGGAAGTGGCCACAAACGCCTTCCGTCTGCTTTCTGGACCACACGTTCCCTGCAGACGGCTCAAGGGCAGGCCTGGGTGTGGAGCCACACCTTCCCTCTCCCAGGGCACAACCCACACGTCCTCCCTTTTCCCTCCTAGCAGAGCAGGAGTCATGGTGGTGCCATCCTATTGCACACCTTACCCAAAGACCCAGCCTCTTCTTTGGGAACCCTTGGGACTCCTCCCTGTGCCAGAAATGGCCTCCCCACTGACATGCTGTCCTCTGCTCCCTGGGCAGCCCCAGGCTCCTCCCTGCCTGGACCCCAGAAGGATCTGCTTGTCTTCCCCAACCGATCCCAACTGTAGGCTGCCAGCCCCTGTAGCTCTCTGGGCCAGGGAAGAGCCTTCAGGAAAGGAAGGGCAGCCTCTCCCAACCTTAGTTCCCTTTCGTCACTTTTCTCCACCTCTGCTGTCGTAGCCCACCCTGAGCCAGACACAAGGGACCGATCCTGAGAAACTACCAATGCTGGGACATAGGCCAGTTCTTCCATCCAGCTCCTTGCAGACAGGGTAGAAGACGTGGGCCCTGGGTGGGTTCCTCCTCCCAGCCAGCGGCCCCTCTGGGGGGCAGGTAGAGGCATAGCGGCAGGCAGGGGGATGCTGGATGGGGCAAGTGTCTGGGCTGGGCCAGTCTCCGGGCAAGGAGCATCCAGAGTGTGCAAGGCCCCAGGGGCCGAATCAGCCTTCCTGAGCCCTTGTCACCGCAGAGGGCCTGATGGAAAGGACACTGCTGGGAGCCAGGAAGTCTGGGTTTTAACTCAGCGGGGCCCCTACATGCTGTAACCTGGAGCTAGTCGGCTGGCCTCTCTGGACCTCAGTTTCAGCATCTGTAAGAGGAGCGAGCTGGGCTGCTGGCCCATAGGCTGGGGAGGCAGGCTGTTACTGCTGTGAGCTTCACCCGAGCCTGCTCTGACTCCTGAGAGTGTAGCCTGGGTGGCCTGGATCCCCCAGCCCTCGCTGGCCGGGTGAGTGGGCCCCTAAAAACCTTTTGCTATATCCTGCCCTGCAGTCTGATCTGGGCTGGGAGGCACTGGACCCAAGGGGCCCTGGGCTCCCTTCTGGCTCTGATCTGTGATTCATTCACTCAGCTAAGTTGTGAGTACTTACTATGTGCCAGACCCTGGGAGTCTAGGGGAAGGTCACCAGGTCCCTCTGGAAGCCCTGTGCTGCCCTGGACAGAGGACCAGTGACCGTCCTGCAGCCCCTCTCGCAGCTCCCCTAGGCCGGAAACCACACTGTTGCGGGCGATGCCGGGCCGCGTGGGCGATGCCTTGTTGCTCCCACCTCCGCCGTGCCGGGCCTGCCTGTTTGTGGCAAAGCCAGCACCCCAGGCCTCTTCCGGGGTAGGCACGACATTGCCACCTCCCTATTTGGATTCAAAGGTGTGAGGAGGATGAGGGGTCGGCCCTGAGGAAGACTCTGGGTCCCCCGAATGGCCTGTCCTCACCAGCCCCAAACTAAGGCCCTCTCGGCGAGGTCAAAATTGCTTCAAGAAGAACTCTTCTGCCTCCTCTTCCCTTAAAAGAGACCCAGGCCCTGGGTTGGGGGTGTCCTCAGGCCGTGCCTCGAGTTGGCGAGTTGGCGTGGGTGGAGGGGTGGCTGGCAGGAGGGAGCCGAGCCCTCTGACCCTCCGTGAGAGGAAGCACTGTCTCACTGTGGCCACCCTGAGCACTGAGGACCCAGGCCGAGCCCTCATCCCAGGCTCTCAGAGGGCAGTGGGGAAAGGGTGTTGGGGTTCAGATAAGTGGGGGGGCCACCCACGGGTATGGGGGTGCAGGGGGTGTGAAGGGGATGCGACGTGGGGCCTTGGGAGGGTGGGCAGCAGGTGGCAGCCCAGCCCTCGCCCACGGCCCCCTTGTGCCTCGCAGGAGCCTTCCTATTAAAGACCTGGCCGTGGACAGCGCCTCTCCCGTGTACCAGGCTGTGATCAAGAACCAGAACAAGCCGGAGGACGAGGCCGATGAGTGGGCCCGCCGCTCCTCCAACCTGCAGTCGCGTTCCTTCCGCATCCTGGCCCAGATGACAGGCACGGAATTCAGTAAGTGACAGCTGTGGTGGGTGCGGGGGCCAGGGAGGGGAGCTGCTGGGGGCCGTGAGAGTCCTGGGTCCTGCTCCGCGGTCGTCAGGCCCACAGAAGCCAGGAGTAGAGCTCTGGTGACTTTTCTTCCTGATGCTCTGTGACTCCTTCTGACTAGCAACTTTCTGCCCACAGTGCAAGACCCTGACGAGGAAGCTTTGAGAAGGTCAAGGTAAGTGGCTGGCCTCCAGCTCTGGGGCCTGGCCCTTCCTAACCCATCCCTTCCCGGGCAGCCCCCAGGTCACAAGACTCATGGAAGGAACCTCTCCAGTCCATATATTTGGAAATTCCTGGCCCCTAAAGGGCTCCAGCAGGTGCTGGCTTGGGGCGTTTGTCCCAGGTCAGTGAGGTGGGTACTTGGAGCTGAGTCTCTGTCCCCTGGGTCCAGGCTGCAGGAGTAAGGACTCCAGGCTCTCCTGGCTCTGTCCCTGGGCAGCGGGCAGGGCTGCTTTGGCCGTTGCTGGGCTGTCGAGAAGGAGGCATCTCTCCCTGTGAGCGTCCCAGGCCGGCTGCCTTGCCTCCCCGCTCATCTCAGGGCCTGTCCCCTGTGCGTCTGGAGGCTAGCACTGGGAAGCGGGCACTTGGAGGGCTGTGCTGGGGGTGGGTGCCTTACCCCTGCACTCACCTGTTCAGACCTAGTTATTAGTTCCATAAATCACTCACAGCACAATGGCTTCTGAAAGGAAAGACGAGCCCTGGGCATGAGGAGGGGCTTGTGCAGAGCTGGGTGTCTCCAGGGATGGCCCCCATCCATGGCAGGCCTGAGGCCACGGCCACGAACCTACCACCTGTGGCCTGTCAGGTGCTCGTGGCTCTGGGCATGAGGGGGTCACGCTGCCCCAGACCCTCTGGAACCTACTAGGGCCTTCCATGGTGAGGCATGGGGCCCAGTGTGATTGTGCTTACCCTTCCGGAGGCAAGCGTGTGGTCTGCATGTTCTTCCTGGGAGAGTCTGCGTTGGGCCTGTGCATCCCGCGGCAGCCTCCGTGTGACAAGCCGGGGCTCAGAGGTGCTCTTCCACCCTGGGCCAAGCTTACTGTCCTTGCTAACCGGTGCGTAGTGGCCATGGGACTGTGCGGAGAGTGGGGCTCTGGGGTCAGCTGGACCTGATGTGGATTTTATTTTTGAACCTGTATTTCGGCCAATCCGAGTTGCCCCCACTCTTTGGCTGGGACATCCAAGCCTAAAGTGTGGTCCTCCCAGACCTGCTAACGATGGCATGCTGTTGCAGTAATGGTCCTTACGTTTCGGTGCCTGCAGTGTGTCTGTTAAAGAGCCTGAACTGAGACGATACGTGATTTAGCTCACAAGTTAGTATCTAGCTATTTTACGTATGACCGAGCTGTCAGCTGTCTCCTCTCCTATGCTCCACCGCTCCTGCGTGCTGGTTCTGTGTCCGACCCACCTCCTCTTTGAAGCCGCCGCATAGATGCTCCAGTGAGCGATGTAGCCTTTACCAAAGGTTTGATAGAGGGCCTTTCTAGCACACACCCCACAGCAAACAGCCTAAAAGTCCCCAAGTTCCCTCCATCCAGAGCTAGCAGGGGCCTTCACCCCCCTTCCCAGAAGGCTCTGACCCCTGCCTCTCTGGGCCCCGCCACCCCCTCCGGAGCACTTCTGATCACTTTATGTTCCTCTGGCCGGTCCCTCTAGACTCGCACGTCACTAATCGGAAGGGCGCTGGTGGAGGCGGACCACAGGGGACTTCCGTCTTTTCTATTTCCCCTGGAACATTTGCAGGCTCTGCGAAGTTACTGAGTGAGGAGAACACAAAAGGCAGGATTAAGGTGGTCCCCAGGCCTCCCCCTTCCCCCTTTTCAGAAGCGTCTCTTGGGTCTTGTTCTGCCTGGTCCTGTAGATATGTGGGGAGGTTAGCCATTCTCCTTGGGGCCTAACCCCACACATGCTTGGTTCAGCTCCCAGCAGGAGGCCAGAGGGTCTTGGGCTTCTGAGAACTCTGTGGCAGGTCCTGGAGCCTCTCCCCAGCTCCCACAGGGTTTCATTGTCGGGGAACGTGGAAAGAGAGCCCGAGAAGAGGTGCCAGCCGGCTTCCTCCCTCGGTGCCAGGCCCCCACCCCGAGAAAGCGGCTGCCTCTCACAAGCACAGTGTCACCGCCAGCCCTTCTCTCTGGGGTTTCTGGCCCTGCAGTAACGGCTCTGGGGACCCAGCAAGGCTTCTGCCCGGCACTGGAGGCGCACAAGGCTCCTGCTCCCTCTCTTTTCCTAACTTGGATTTCTGGAAGGTTATCTTCATAGCCTCCCCCAGAAATGCCCATCCTCCCCAGGGCCACAGAAGGAGGGAGGGCGTTTTCATTTCACTGAATCCCAAGCAGCCTGTGGACCTGGGGCTGTGGGGGAGGGGGAGGTGCAGTGGGTGCAGCCATTCAGTTCTTTTTGTGATTAAAGCCTGAACAGGTGACTGTGGCCACTGCTCACCTGAGTGGCCTTCTGAGCAGAAGGGAGCACACTTGTCCCCACCCTCGGTCCAGGCTGATCAGGGATCTTGCTCCCCAGGGCCTGGGCCCCACTTCCATCCATCCCCACCTCCAAGTTGGAAACTGCACCCCCAGACCCTGCTGACCCATCTTGTTGGCTGAGGGCAGCTATGGCCTCTGTCCCTTCTCCTCTCGCTTTAGTGGCTTTCACAGTGAGGAGTCCAGGGGTCTCTCCTGAAGGCTGCGTTTCCCCAGGGGGCTTCACTGCACACGTCTTCCAAGTAGCTTACTCCAGCAGAGCCTGAGTTTGCCACTCCCCGGCCCGGCAGCCTGTGCGTGCGTGGTGACGGCCTGTCTGGGCTTGGACCCGTGCAAAGGCGCTTTCCCCTTCCTGTGGCTGTGTGAGGACAAAGCTGGCGGGATGCCGTGTGAGCAGCCTCAGGCATTCTGTACCAGGCAGTGGCCTGGTGGCCTGGAGGACAGGTGTCAGTCTGCATGTCAGAAGACCCTGCAAACTGTCCCTTCACGTATCATTGCTCTGCCTCCGAGGCCTGTCCCTCGAGCGAGCAGCCCACAGCCCCGCCCTCCCCTCCCCTCCTCTCTCTGGGCCCTGGCTCCCAGCGCTCCGACAGTGTCTCTGGTGTCTGGTAGCAGAGAACGTCCCTCCAAGGCTCCAGTGCCCGCCTGCTGGCCAGCCCAGGGCAGAGCACAGTCTCCAGGGACCCTTCTTTACAGGTGAGGCAAGTGGGCCCCTGAACAGCCCAAGCATCAGCTGCGGACTTGGCTCCACTCCCAGGAAGGACCCCAGCCCCTCAACAGACTGTCCGGGCGGCTTAAACACTAGCCTCCTGCTGGCGTCCACATGGGTGCAGGCAGTCCTGCGGCTCTGGCCTCCATCTGAAGCAGCAGAGCACAGATAGTGCCCCCGCCAAAGGCTGAGCCTCCAATCTCAGAGAGCCCACAGCTTCCATGTGACTTCAGGAGGCCTTCCAGGGCCTGATGGCTCGGAAGGTCGGGTCCATGTTGGGCAGCCCTGACTGGGATGGGTGTGGGAGCAGGCCTAGCCTCATCCTGGACCGGGCTTGAATCTGTGAGGCATCTGGATCCCCCTGCCTGGGTGTAACCATCCTGGAGAAGGCCAGTGTGTAGCCCAGACATCCCCTGGCCCCCACCTTGTGGTGCAGCTGTCTACAAGTGCCGTCTCTATGTTTACCTGATGCTCACCTGGGTGGAGAGGTCTGCGTCTCTCTTAGCACAAGTGTTAAGGAACAAATTTGATCTCAGTGACGAGTCCACAGAGAGGCTGAAGGTGAGGTTGCCTCGCACACGCCTCCACAAACGACGTAAAAACCCTCCCGTGTCCCTTCTCTGTTGTGCAACCATCCACGGGTCTTCTTCATCTCCAGTTGCCCCCTTCTGACAGAGCCAGAGCGTGGGGCTGACCGGCCCTGCCCTCCTCCCCCTGCAGCCTCCCTGGGCACCTGGGGTCCTCTCCCCTTGCTGGGCACACCCGCCTCTGTCCGAGCTCATGGGGCTGATTCTCTTGGTACAGCACAGCTCAGGGTCCTCCCGCAAATACAGCCCTCGTGAAGAGGCAGTGGACAGCTATCGATATGAGAGTTACCTGCGTTCCGTGGATTTTTAGTCCTTAGTGTCTGCCAGCCTAGCAAGTTTGAAAAACCATAAGTGGAGAGACCAGGACACCCCTGGGTGCCACCTGAGTAGCCCTCGAGGGTGTCCAAGACCTCTCTTCCTCTCTCTCTCGCTGGCTCTCCTCTCTCTCTCCTCTCTCTTCTCACTCCTCTCTTTGGCCATCTGTGAATTTCCAAACAGCTCCCAGCAGAACAGGCTCACTAGACTCGCCAACCTGCCAGGACTGTCCTTGACCCTGTCCCTGAGCACTGATGACAAAGGCTGTGGGCCTGGCTGGCTGGACTGGCCGCATCTGTGCCCTGGGTGGTCCCTATGGGCTGGTGGATTGTTGCCACCTGCGGTGCTGTCGGTAGGGCAGCGTGGGCTCTGCGGCCGGGCCTCTGCTCGTGCTGCCTTTGCCCCTTCTCCCCGACCTCAGAGGCAGGTAGCAGATGACACCCAGTGCTTAGATCATGGTGCTCCCCCTGAGTTTCTGTGTGGCTTCAGGCCATTCATGTGATATCTCTGGGCCTCGCCTTCCTCTTGGTATTAGGAAAGTCTGGGCTTGACCAGTGGTTTTCAAATATGTTAGCAGTGGGCCCCTTTTGTCAAACAGAATCTTACACAGAGACCCAACATGAGGACTCAAGGTGTGTGTCGGGGGGCAGCCTGCCTGGTAACGCATATGCGGGAAGGTGGACAGGTCTAAATGCAGGGACGCGGGACTGTCAGCCTGCAGACGCGTAAGACCAGCACTGCCCCATCCTCTGATTTTTAAAATCCTCAAGCTGGTCTTCCTGACTTTCATAGGCTGGCAATTCATTTATTAAACTATTTATTTTGAAATAATTGTGGATTGGCGTGCAGTGGGAAGAAATAACACAGAGAGATTCTTTGTACCCGTTACCCCCAATGGTAACATCTTGCAAAACTACAGTACAATTTCACAACCAGGATGATGACACTGATACAGTCAAACACAGAACATTTGCATCACCCCAAGGACCCCCCATGTTGCCCTGTTATGGCCACACCTCCCTTCCCACACGCACACCCTCTCCTTAACCTGTGGCAACCACTAATCTGTTATCTGGTCTCTATTTCT